AGTATAAAGAGATTATATTAATTTATACATATAATTAATCGTGTAATAACGCGGTTAACCTTAATTAAACGTTTAAATTATTTATATATTAATAAGTAATATACTATTATATAGCTAATAAGCGAGTATTAAAGCTATTTAATACTTAATTAAAGTAAAAGGGAATAGTTATAAGATAATTAAAGAACCCCGCTTACTTATAACGCAATTAATAATATTACGTGGAATAAGAGCTTTAGGATTATATCCCTTATATCTCGTATAACTAGAAAATAGAATAAGCTTTAATTATTATAATATAGCTACCCTTTCCTTATCTACCTAACTTCTAGTCCCTCTTATAATCTTACACTAACTTTACTAGTATTTAACGTATTATAACGCGTATACGTATAACTTATAGTATATTACGTAGTATATTACGGTTCTTAGCTTAATATAACTAATATATAGTATTACTAGATATACTTATATTATACTTATACTACTATATATTATAAAAAAAAAACTAAGAAGAACTTAATAATTATAATATTACTTAAATGTAATTACACTTAAAAAGTATTATTACACGTATTTTTTTAAATTAATAAATATAAAAATTTTAATTTTTAATTTTTAATTTTTAATTTTTAATTTTTAATTTTTAATTTTTAATTTTTAATTTTTAATTTTTAATTTTTAATTTTTAATTTTTAATTTTTAATTTTTAATTTTTAATTTTTAATTTTTAATTTTTAATTTTTAATTTTTAATTTTTAATTTTTAATTTTTAATTTTTAATTTTTAATTTTTAATTTTTAATTTTTAATTTTTAATTTTTAATTTTTAATTTTTAATTTTTAATTTTTAATTTTTAATTTTTAATTTTTAATTTTTAATTTTTAATTTTTAATTTTTAATTTTTAATTTTTAATTTTTAATTTTTAATTTTTAATTTTTAATTTTTAATTTTTAATTTTTAATTTTTAATTTTTAATTTTTAATTTTTAATTTTTAATTTTTAATTTTTAATTTTTAATTTTTAATTTTTAATTTTTAATTTTTAATTTTTAATTTTTAATTTTTAATTTTTAATTTTTAATTTTTAATTTTTAATTTTTAATTTTTAATTTTTAATTTTTAATTTTTAATTTTTAATTTTTAATTTTTAATTTTTAATTTTTAATTTTTAATTTTTAATTTTTAATTTTTAATTTTTAATTTTTAATTTTTAATTTTTAATTTTTAATTTTTAATTTTTAATTTTTAATTTTTAATTTTTAATTTTTAATTTTTAATTTTTAATTTTTAATTAGCTTTTACATAAATTAAAGGCTATTAATAAAAAGTCTTACTTATAATATATATTAGTATAACTTATACTCTTTATTTTACATAATAAAATCATGTATAATTATAGTAAATCTATTATAGAGTTTACGTTAGATCTCTCCCCTCCTTGCTCCACCTTAACAACCTTCACGATCACATCAACCATGAGGCTCCTTTGGAGCCACGCTGGTACGTGCGCTGTACGGGCAACTAGCCATCTACGAAAACGGTTTCAGCGACGACCCTACTTTCAATGTTTATATACCATGACCGATAATACATTTCGACAGTCCAAGGCTGTTTATATCCCTGAGGTGGACGTGGAAGATCTTGAGGGCTACACTATCGGTGGCTACCATCCGATCGTTATTGGAGACACTTTCCAAGACGGCCGATACAAGATTGCCCACAAGCTTGGCTTTGGTGGCTATTCTACAATTTGGCTGACCCGAGACAACACATTGGATCGCTATGTCTCACTAAAGGTCTTGGTTGCAAGCGAATCGTCAAAAAATACTGAGGCAAATATCCTTCGCCAACTTCAAAGCGTTGACACATTGCACCCAGGGCAGCGGTTCATCCCTCATTTACTAGATACATTCTCTATCGAAGGCCCAAACGGACGACATACCTGCCTTGTACAAGAAGCGGCCGGCTGCAGCGTCGCTGCATCCAAAGAAGACTCGGTAGCCTTCATGTTTCCGACCGAGACCGCGAGGTCCATTGCAGCTCAGTTGATCATGGGTGTGGCGTTTTTGCACTCACGAGGCATATGCCACGGAGGTAGGCTTAGCACCTAAACTCACCGTGCTCCCCTTACCATAGCTCACCAAATCCAGATTTGCATCCAAGAAATGTTCTATTTCGCGATCCACATGTCGGCAAACTCAGCCCTGACCTGCTCTGCAAGAGTTACCGTTTGGATCAAGCCCCTATTAGCCGAGTTGATGGCGCTGCTGTCGAACCTCAGGCGCCACCATATGCCGTCTATCCAATGCACATGAAAATGGCCGCCGATAAACTAACAGACCCTATCATCACTATATCCGACTACGGGACATCTTTCAATCTGGCTACTGAACGCTCCCCCGAGCTACATACGCCACCACTCTACCTGCCCCCGGAAGACTTTTTTCAGGAACCCATCACATTGGCGGCGGACGTGTGGACGCTTGGCGTTAGCTTATACGAAGTTTTGGGTGAAAGGCCTCTCTTTGAAACTTTTCATGGCGACCGAGACGATATTATCGCCGATATCATCAGCACACTGGGGCAGCCACCCGCGCGTTGGTGGGATAAATGGGAAAGTCGAAAAGAGTTTTTTAAGCCAGATGGCTCCTGGATTCATAACCTCCAAAGAATCTACACGCCTGTTTTCCGACCGTTGCATCAACGCATGTGGGACATGGGACGTGGCATGACACCCGAGACTTGCGAATGGGATGTTGAAGGAGGGGAAATGCAGGCCTTGGAAAAGCTGCTAAGGAGCATGCTGGCATTTGAACCTGCAGAACGGCCTACGGTCGAACAGCTGATGAGATCAGAGTACATGGTCAAGTGGGCGATTCCAGCTTGGGAGCGGCAACTAGAGAGAACCAAAAATGCATAGCGGCGACAGATTCTTGCATGTGTGCATTTTGATCTGGAGCCGAGTAGAAAGAGTCCGCGGCAAGTCGGACACTTTTTTTTGGACAAGACCTCGTTTTTTGTACCATGCAGAGTAAACTTTTGCATCTGCTGGATTATCGATGCCGCCCACGCACTTGCTGTGCCCAAATTCCCAGGCCAGTTGGAAATTTACCCTTCCAAGCTTCCAAGACATCCAATGACCCAGTTGACGAATTTGTCACTCAACCAATCGTTCAGCCAGCTTTTAGTAAACCAAGGCGGCATGAGGCTTTTCGTAATGTCAAACAAGTCAAAGCCATTCGTACCTACATATCTCAAGAGAACTCCGAATACTTAACATCGGGGTGCCCGATGGCGAGCCCCTCGTCATTGATTCCTATCTGACCAATGTCAACACTTCAGACATCACTTGTGACATGCCCATTGCGCTCACGAACATGAAAAAACCATTCGTGCAGCTCGAGGCTCTCACTTGCACTTCGCTCCTCCGTCACGATCCCAAGGACTCCAAAGAGCTATACGTCCGGACTGAGTGGGAAGCTGATGTCCACAGCGAGATTCGTACTTTTGAGGTTACTCAATTAGGTGAGCAGCAGAACCTAGAGCTGGTTGGTCTCTGTGAGCGTTTTGCTTACTACTACTTGAGAAGCCTGGACAAAGTTGTTCATCGGAAGGAGGTTGAAACAATCGAGTGGCATTATCAGCGCGTCTTTGAATGGATCGATTACTTATTTTCGATGAAAGAGATGGGCACACATCCCACAATCAAGCCCGGATGGTCCAAAGACGAACTCCCCTGGTTATTACAGCAGAAATCCAAGTTTCCTGACCAAATAGACGTTACGTTGATCCAAGCGGTCGGCGAGAACCTTCCGGCTGTGGTTCGCAAGCAAACCACGATGCTCGAGCACATGGCCAAGGACGACGTCTTGAACTGGTTTTACAAGCAAGGTCTCGGCTTCCAAAGAGCGAGTGGCTACATGTCGCGAATTACACGGCAGATTACGCATCGGTGTCCTCGAATGAACATTCTTGAGATTGGCGCTGGAACTGGAGGAGCAACCAAGGGAATTCTCCAGCCGCTCGACAGCACCTTTGGCATCTATACCTTCACAGACGTATCTACCGGCTTTTCCCAAGCCGCTGCAGATCAGTTGAGCTCATGGGCTGCCAAGATGATCTTCAAGGCCCTCAACATTGAGAATAGCCCGACAGAGCAAGGGTATAGCGAAGCGTCATACGATCTAGTCATGCCTCCAATGTTCTTCACGCAACTAAAACGCTCTCAGAAACAATGAGGAACTTCCGTCGGCTAATTAATCCGGGTGAATTCTTGTTGATCCTGGAAGTCACCAGTGATATTGTTCGAGTGAAGATGATGATGTCAGGCTTGTCTGGCTGGTGGCTTGGTGGTGATGACGGACGCCGACGTGGTCCAGCCATCACCGTTTCTGAGTGGGATACTCTACTTCGCTCGACAGAATATTCTGGAGTGGACAATTCCTTGAACTACTTTAGCCACAGCACCAAATATATAATATCGGTGATGCTTTCACAGGCTGTGAATGACAAGGTCGATTTCCTCCCCTCCGCCAGCCACTTTCCAGCCGAGGAGATTCGACCATGACCGATTCTCTCACCACAGTTGGCGGCACCCAGGGCGACATGGAAAGTATCGTTGCTAGGTGTCTCGCTGATTGCAATTCTCAGCTTGGCATTCGATGTGTAGCAGGTTTTGAGGACTTGGCATCCCCCTTCAATAGCACGGCCTTGAAATCACTTTTGTTTCTGCAACATCTTGACGAGCCTGTTCTTCAAAAACTTGGCTTCATCTAAGCTTGTCGGACTTCAGAGAGCAATGAGTGAGTGCCGACAAATTCTGTGGGTTTCAAGGGGCTGTGGAAGGATAACCCGTTTGCAAATATGTCTGTTGCCCTGTGTCGAAGCTTGTTTTCGGAGTATCCGCATATCAAGATTCAGCATGTCGATGTCGAGTCTTGCCTTGATCAGGGTACGATGCACCGCATATCTGGAGCAGTGCTTAGTCTTTTGCGTTCAGAAAAACCGTCTGCCGACATTCTCTGGTCATTCGAGCCTGAGTTGATCTTGGAGGACGAAAAATGGTATATTCCTCGACTCTTGCCAGATGAAAAGCCGAACCAGAGACTTACTTCCACCACGATGGATTTGCAGGTCGGCATGTCTCTGAAGAAAGCACAATTGAGACTGCTTCCAAAGCATCTAAATACATACTCACCCAGTCTGTGCCCTGCATCCAAGCCGCAGAACAGACGCCATTGACAACCATTAATGTGACCAAGTCACTTCTCCATCCTGTCGCCACAGAAGGCCCAAAGAGTGTATCCTCTTCTACGGGTACAGGAATAGCTGTGCGTATACTCCTGTCTTAGTCTTGGCCACTGCCAATGCATCTTCGGTTTCTGTTTCAGAGCACTTTGTATTTGACTTGCCGGAGGTTGTGGCCGACGGCGCTGCGGTTTTGCAGCGAGTAGCATTTTCCGTGCTCGCTGAGAAGGTACTCGAGAACATCAATACACCTGGAACAATACTTCTACACGATAAACATCAGAGTTTCTCTTCAGCTGTCTAGCAGGCTGCAGCCAGGCTGGGTTTAATGTGCATTTCTACGACTTCCCAGAAGCAACCTCCATCGCTTTCTTCGGCTTCGCCCAGGTGAGTACAGAGCGGTAGGAAGCTAACATTGTCTTTTGTGAGCCAGTCACCTCCGGGGAAATAGAATTACGCCAGCTTGGTGGATTCCTGCCGCAAGGCTATAACTGAGATGGTTCGCGTCGAAGAATTGCCAATCGATGTAGCTAGGGCATTCAAGAGACCAACCTATAATAGAACTCTGGATGATGTGAAGGGAGTGGTGCAGAATGGCAGATACGTGGAAGGTTCACGATATCTTTAAAGATGGAATCATTCACCCAGCCATCAAGAGTCTCAAGCGTGCAAAACGATCTGGCCCTCGGGAGCATACGAGTAAGAAATATGCCAAGAGTGTTGTGGATTGGCTTATGGCAGTGTGCTCTGGGGATTTCCTCAAGGCAGTAAGCATCAACGCGCCAGGCTTATCCGCCGAACATGCTAGATGTACTATGCTGGTGACTGAAAAGTCAGAGCCTTGATGAATACATTATACAAACAGCATGTTGCCATGTACATTCTATATTCCAAAGGATGGTACAAAGCATATCCGGCATGGGGGCTTATTCTATATATAGATACACCAATAGAACATGGGGCAATGTGCTACCTTCTTTGCAAATAGTACGCAGCTTTTCTGGCGCCCCAACTGGTACAGTGGTAAGATTGCGAGCAGCTCGCGAACTTTTGCTTATAGTAGTTTGTCTTAAGCGCACAAGATGCCCTACTATATCGCCTCGAACTATACATTGGAACCATCTTACATGGTTTAACATCTCCAAGTAACCCGTCCACCTAAGCGCTTCGCATCAAGATAATGTTTTCGTCCTTCAGACCACGTACGGTTGTAAGGTTCCTGCAAGTTGTTTGGCCAGTTTTTCAGATCCGCTTCTGCCTCAATCATCTTCTCGGTCTCATGCTCAGTAACAATTGGTGTTGATTTGAGACGGGTGGAACGTGCGCCTCGACGTCACCGACATACTTCACTCCAGACACCATCACTGCGACCTTGTAATTTTCTGGGAGTACATGCCACAGTTTATATTAAGAGCCAGAGTAAAGCAGTGGCTGGAATTGTCAGGAGCAGCCTTAAATTGTATACAAAAGGCGTTAACGACGAAGCAGAGTAGAGAAACGAAAACTACATGCCTGCTAAAACCCACCCAACCCTTCCATCTTGGCCACCATGCCAACAACACCTTTGACTAGCCCTTTGACCTTTCCGGGGTTGCCCATGTACCCCTCTCCCGGGTTCCCGTCCTTGTCTCTCCAGATGCCGTCGTCCGCGACCCTGCCAAACATCTTTGTATTCTGGTTCCTGTCGATTCCCTTCATCCACTCGCCACATATATCCTGGCTGTCAACCATGATATTGACCTCTTGGCTGTGAAACCACGACTGCGTGTCCTGATTGCCGCTGCCTTGAACCCCCACCCTGCCATCGGCAATGAGCAGCTTGACATGGCATGAGCGTGCCTTGAAGCTGTGGTGGATGGGGTGGTCTTGGTCCTTTCCAACGTAGTTGTACACCTTGAGCAGGGCTCGTTCCGGTCCGCCAGGCGGCAAAGAGTCGACCAGGGACTTGGACACTTGATCATTGGTGCCTCCCTGGCCCGGAATCATTTCCCCCAAGTCATTGTAGCCGAAACACACGTAATACGTGACTTGGACCCCACGCTTCAGAGCCGCCCTCAGTTCGACGAGCAGGGGCTCCGCATTGAGATCCGGCGTTTGGATGAATATCGTTTCCTTGGCATTGCGGATAAGAGACAGCCATGCTTCGTTTTGTGGAACATAGCCATTGCTGGAATCAAAGCATCCATATGGAGGGCGCGATACCATGGCCATGGGAACGGGGCCTGCCGTGCCGGTAGATATGTATGGTGTCATCTCCTCACCATCAGCTATCTCCGGGCCCGTTGGGGCAATTGGCGTCTTGACAGGGATATTCAGTTGTCTGTTGACAGCTTGTAAGCGAGTCTCGCCAGCCTTCCTGGAGTAGCTGCTCTGGATTCGCATAATTTCGCCCGCGATATCCTTGTCGTAGTGCGGTTCCTCGGGCGTATGTTTTGCGAGCTGCGTTTGTGCCTCTCCGGCAAGCGCAATGTCGCTTGATGTTTTCCCCGGTGAGCGATCGAGATACAGCTTCTCGTGGTCCTTGGTCGGCAGCCCGCCAGCAGAGGCCGAGGCTTGATGATGCGGCGGCAGCGACGAGTTGACGCCCTTGTACCACGTAATGACGGCTGTGTCGTGAATGCTATCAACGATCGGACCCTCCAAGTGCACCATCATTTCGAGGTTATCATTGTCCTGCATGTTGTTGCTCATGACTGCGGCAATCTTGCGATCCACGACACAAAACTTGGCGTGCTGTGTTCCCAACGGTATAGTATGTAGACTCGTGACCTCGAGGTCGACATTAGGAATCTCGTCTGAGCCGGGAAGCTGTACGGACTTGGACGTGTAACTCTCCGGTTTCACTTTGTGATGTGAATCGGGAATGTTTGACGGCCCTACGCTGTCGTACATGACATTGACAGTCACCCGCTGCCCTCGAGCAACTGATCGTCTCGACAGCTCGATCAAGGAACTCCGTATCAGTCGCTGGGCGATGGAGGGTGACCAGGCACATGTGATGAAGAAGACTTCTCGCTCAGCCCGGGCTATAAGGTTCGAGCAATGTCGAATAATGTCTGCTACGGGAGCTATGACGGTGAGCGGTACGGTGCCATGCGACCCCATCAATGGCGGCGACACAACTCCGGAGAGCGGATCTGGTCCCAAGCAGTTCAGAGCATCTGCAAATGCTTGCAAGAAGAGGGGGCTAGGCTTTGTTGGTCCCCAGTTGCCGCAATTCAGCGCAGCGTCTTGTGCTTCTGGAGAAGCGGGTTGTCGGTGCTTGCTTCCATCGCAATTACGATCTCTTTTAAGATCTCCATAAAGCTGCTTGATGATGTCGCTCGGAGGCCTGGAAGGGTCCTTTGCCCAGATGGACGTTACTGTGTCAGTTTCCTGAACAAGTTTGAGGACGTGCTCCGAGACCATGTCGACGAGAGATGAAAGGACAACTCAACATTGATGGCTGTTTAACTTGAGCATATTTCCCGTTCTGTGCATGCCCTAACACCAAATTAGTACCATGGTGTTTATAACTGGTGAGTTTCGTCTTGGCCGGATAAACGGCAACTGAATAACGTCATAGGGCGCGAGATCCAAGGCACAACAGATGGTGTGGCGATGCAACTTGGCTGACCCCGATTGCCACATTTGGCAGTTTAGCAAGTAATTCCCCATTTTTCCCATGCACGCTGTAGGACATTCCAGGACAGAAGAGTGAGGCTAGTTGGTGGTTGTGTTCCAGTCGATCTGCCGTGCAACGACGGCTTGTGCCGTCGCCAGAATTACATGACTACTACGGAGTAGTAAACACGACGTGAGATTTTGTCCTAAATCATTCCCCTTTATGGCAACATGTCTGTCTTCACTAGCCATCGTCACGGCTCTTCACCACTATTTAGCTGACTTCCGTCGCAAGAGCGCTATACATATTCCCATGGCCAGAAAGATAGCCTGCCATGCCGCCATTCTTCTCTTCTTGCTCCTCTTGCTCTTCTTCCCACCCAGAAGGCCTGATTGTGGCTTCAATGGCCCAGGCGACTCGTTCGGCCCCCAGCTTCGCGCCACCTATATTGGGAGCGGCCGGTCCCAGCCTCAGCGCAGACAGCCTTCCCAGGAGAAACAAGGGAACGTCGTCGTTCCACATTAAATCGTCATTGATGCAAGGGAAGCCCCCGTAGCTGTCGACTGGATACTTTTCCCGCATCGTCTTCAGATAAGGCAACTTGGTCACGTCGGTCTGGATCCCGGTGGCAAAATAGATGTAGTCGAAAGATGGCATATCGGCCACGGGCGGGTCTGTTGCGACCGTCCACAGGCCGCCGGCACCGTCTTCACCTTGTACAAACGTTGTGTCGAGCAGACATGTTCGCTCAAAGAGTTCCAGTCGTCCCGACGCGACGTGCTTCCGTAGGCGCTTGTGGAAAAGAGGTGTGATGCTACCGCCACCCCTTGCCTCCTTGATAATCTCCAGTCTCTCTTCGTCCGAGTCGGCGAGCCAAAACCGCGCTTGCTCTGTATTCTTGTACTTGCCCATCCACTCAAGATCAACATCGAAATGCTTCACCCGGCATGGTCCGCGCATCATATGCCACACTTTGGTTACGCCCCTGCGAATCGCAAGGTCGGAGAGCTGAGCAGATGTCAGCCCGCCGCCTACCACGAGAACGTTGGTTCGCTGACCAGCTGCGATTCGTTGCTGAACAATTGGGTCGGGAAACGTCTTGATTTGCATGCTGTGGCAGGCTTGACGGAGATTCTGCATGTCCTTGGGCATAGATGGCATTCTAGGAACGTCAGGCTTGTTGGCAGCGCCCACGGCAAGAACCAGCGTTTTGGAGTACAAGCGGCCGGAAGAAGTCGTGACTGTGAACAGGCTTTGGTCTTCAACCGACACTCCTCGCACGAGACCATAGTCAACATCTACCAGCATGTCCTTTCTGATTATACTGCTGTCCAGACAATATCTCGCAGCAACATGCTGACAATGATGGCAAAACAACGACCGCGAAGGGGTATAATAGTCGTTTCTTTCGCGTAGATTAATGGCAATTCGAGCTTCCTGCCTTTTCCAGCTTGTTAGTTTCCAATACGAAAAACCCGTTATCCCTCCCAGGATTAAACAAGAGTCACGTACTTTTTGCCGCAATGCCGACTTCCCGCCTTCTTCTTTGCATGCTTGCTAATCTCCTTGCCTACGCAGTTGCGAATCTCAACCAGCTCATTTTCCCGGTTCTCAGAGTACGCATGGGCCAGCAAGGAATCGCGATCAAGGGGATCGACATGCCACAGCATTGGGCTCCTCAGATGGGAAATATCGTACAGCCCAAAGAGTTCATTCCAACGGCCTAGCCACTTGTCGTCCGTGCCGTCAAGAACCATCATCTTGTATTCTGGTCGTGTCTTGCGCCGTGGCGGAGACGTCTTTCCACTCCGAACATGCTTCAAGCTAACCTTGTTTCCATATTTCCCGATCCAGTGAAATCTGCGATGCTCTTCATCCGTGAAGAGCGCAGCGGGCGTATGCTCGCGGAGGCGGGCGGCGGTCGCCAGTCCGCATGGACCGGCGCCCACGATGATGACATCGTAAACCTCTGTGTCAGCCATTGGCAAATCCGAACTTGATACACGGTCGGATAGGGAAACTTTGGAATTATTTGTAAGATCCCTTGGGTTTTTGAGCCGGCGTGGGAGGTCAAAAGAGAAGAGTTCAAGGTAGCAGGGCAAGGACACACTCATCCGCCCATTCATTGGGGTATGGATCCTCATATTAAATGGCCCTTTGTTACGTCTTAACATTGATGAGAACCCTTATGAGCTGCGTAAGCTCATCCTGTTGTTGTCATTTTTAGATTTGCACGACACTTCACCATTCGCGGCCTACCTTGATGGTTTGGAAGCCATCAAGGTTTCCGATGCTGGACTATCAGACATGCAGCATAATAACTAGCTGTAATATAATTCGACAGAACTTCCTCTTTGTTCTTTTTTTAATTCCATCTCTATCGTGACGGCAGTGAGCCTGAAAAACCGTGCAAGTGTTGTGATTAGTGGTGAGAGACGCCGACTCCTTGAGAGATAGAAGGCGCCCGGCCCGTCACATTTTTGTTTAGTTTTTGTTTCGAGTTTTTACACACATGATGAAACAGCTGTTGCACAGCTGTAGAAGCATTTGTCGTTGAATTGTAGCGAGACAAATTTCCGATCCTGTTTAGCCCTGCCCGAGGAAGAAAGCTAGACCAGGTGTACCCGGGGGATAGAGAAAAATTACCAGTTAATAGAGGGTCATGCTAAAGGTTAAACACATGGACCAAGGTGTTGATCTGTCCTAACTGCTCTTCTCCCCGCCAGATGTGCGAAAGGGTTGAAATGTGAATGATGTCGAATCTTTGCCAAATGTCCCTAATTAGTTCCATTGCAACAGATATCACCACATTTACAACGAATGCGCAGTCTACTGCCGCCTCGAAACAGCTATTTCACTAGCTCGTAAAGGCCAGGTAGGAGATCCAGTACAGTCCGCTACGAGGGATTCACATTATCGACCACCAACTTCCGCAGACTTGGTCTGAAATGACATGTAGCGTCTAGAAGCACCTCTGGGGCATCTAACTTTGGCTTCACAGCAATATTTAGATGCACAGCGTATATTCAAAGGGAGGGCGCAAAAGTCGTGACGAGCCGATACAATGAAGTTTCTTCCCTACGCGCTTGCCATTTCCATGGCCAATGTCATCCACGCCGGCGTCTTGTACGGCCGAGATGAGCCACTGCGGCAGTGCGCAGAGCCCCCTCCCAGCGAGGAATTCCTAAACTTTTCCAAGGAACTGAATACTTCTTCGACTCTGATAACCCGCCAGCAGCCGGGGAACTTGAACTTTCAAGTTTACACCCACGTTGTGTACTTTGACCAGACGGTCAAGGGCGGCTATCTGACCGTAAGTTGCAAAGCTGCCCCGTCACGTCATGGTGTGTTTTGTACTAAGCCTCCCCCGCAGGAAGACATTATTAAGACGGGCATGGATGTGATGAACCGATATTACAGCAGGTCTGGAATCACCTTCACCCATGTTTCCAACGACTATACGCAACATCCGGCTTGGGCCAGGGGCCAAGATCAAATGGGAATGAAGGCCAAGCTGCGCCGGGGCAACTATGCCGACTTGAACCTCTACTACGTGGCCTTCATCCCGGGCCCTGCCGCCGACGGGTCGGCCAGCGCCGGCATCTGCTGGCTCCCCGTCCCTCGCCGCGACGGCCGTGTGTCCCAGGAAGAGCTGATCAGAGATGGTTGCATGATGCTTGCCGAGACTGCACACCCGCGGTACCCGAATGACATGACCACCACGCACGAGGTAGGCCACTGGCTGGGCTTGCTGCACACGTTCGAGGGAAACGCCTGCGCAGAGGGAGACACCATCGACGACACGTTCCCGCAGCAGGAGCCCACGCAGCGATGCGAGCGAGTTCAGCACAAGTTTCAGGATGGCCGGGCCGCTGTTCGAGCCTGCAACAACTGGTATCCAAGCAACATGTTCAACATTATGGATTATTCGTGAGTAGCTCTGTACGCTGTGACGGGGGAGTTGCGCACGAGGGTTCTAACCTGCTGTCTAGGAGCTGCTCCAGGGAGTTCAGTCCCGGCCAGGAACAACGCATGCAGTACTGGGCGCAGGTTCGCCGACAGATTGGAGGCCCTTCAAACCCCAACCCCAACCCCAACCCGCCCAGGCCCGAGAATCCCAACCCGAACCCCCCGAACCCGGAGAACCCCAACCCTCCCCCTCCCCCTCCTCCCACCGACAATGGCGTGGCCAACATCTGGGAGCAGTGCGGCGGTATGGGTTGGAACGGTCCGACTGCTTGTGCTCAGGGCCTCGTCTGCCAAAAGATGGGCGAGTGGTACTCTCAGTGCCGCCCTTGAGCCGAAACGCCAGCTGCGCCTCGCGAGGTTTCCATTCACCGAGTAACATATTTGAGTGATGTGTGTTGGAAAGTGTAGTATATAGTCGAGTTTTTATTAAATACAAAATACTATGCTACCCCTTACAAATTAGAAAGAGTAACAGGGAGTGTGGAGGGTGCATTTGAAGTCTGTTTTTACTTGGTGAAATTGGACGTACTAACAACCTGGTATTTTGGTGCCCATACCTATGCTACCTTGAGCGATGAAAAAAGCAATAGTCAATGAAAAAAACAGTGCGCATGATTAGCCTCTTTCCGTCAATTTATTTTAAGTAAGGAAGGTGGCAATTTATTGCTCAACGCCGACGTTTGCGCTCGCATTACACCAAAATTGGGACGCTAGTCCGTGCATGGAATCTGCACATGTGCTCACGAAATCTGAGGGGTGGTCCCTGTCAGATTTCACGATGCCCCTTTTAGCTCCACCGGAGTATTTGACTAGACCAGGTATCCATGTGTCGAGCGATTTTCCGCATGTCCATCGAGATTTGCCAAAAAAACATACAACACCGGGTAATTCCATGAACGGACCAGTCGCTTCACAAACACTAAAGCACGCGCATTCAGACTATCGACTAGTATTTCACGTGGCGCAGAGATTTTTACAAAGGGATGACCTTGGACCCAACACACGCGCAAAACATGCCCGCTGACAATGGTTGATGACACTTGACCCATGAGATGAGATGACGCAACATCGTGCCGACTGCATCGGTCCTAGTATTTTTCCGCTGTCTTGGCTAACTCTAGCCGGCCCCCTTATCCCAACTCTTCTCAGCCAAGTTATTCAAAATATATCACCATTTATGCGTACATCTTGACGGCCTAGATCAATCAAACGTTCTAGCGCAAATTCCTTTCCAAACCGACATGTGATTTTTCACCAGCCGCGTCCATGCTGCAGCGAAGCGACTTGATAGCATGGCTAAAGGCTGTGACCTTTTGGGTTGCGACCCTCAAGTCGCTTGTGTTCCACCCTGCCTTGAACTTTTACAACGTGCTGCGCAGTTTCGGATCCATGCAAAAGAGTGCTCGAGTTGAGCCAATATGTGTTCATACCACAGCCTCACCTGATGCAGTGGCCGCAGATTTGTCGGCCCGCGTCCTGCGTGAAACCTAGTCCGTGAACATTAGTACCAGGCCGTCGCGTCTTTTTCACTTCTCATATTCACCCGGGTGAGGGAAGAGGCGGCGTTCTGAGGTACAGTGTTGTTCGCTCTCGGACTGCTGCCTGGTTAGTTTGCTGGAGCATACTTCAACAAGGTCAGTCGATACTTTTACGCAAATTTCGGCGCAAGCCCAGCAACGAGGTAGTATCTTGTGGTAAGAAGAGGCTTGATCAGAATCACATCGGGCGGGAAAGTGCAAGTGTTGCCAGTAGCTAATAGGCAAATGCAGTTCTAGTACATGCGTAAAGCAAGGAACATCGCGCCGCCACTCTTCATCTCAAAGTGCAAGTGGCTGCATGACACGTCGAGTTAGGTGCTGTTGATTCCGGCCTGGATCAGTCCCAGTAGAACGGCATTATTCAAGTTCGCTGGACTAAAGCATCCGTGAGACCAATTTGCAAGCAGGTTGAGTCGCCCTGCTTCTGGTGATACAAGTTGAGCTCACACCCCTGTTGGAACTCTTCCACCTCCGTCTTCCGAGCTTAGTCTCAGCTTCTCTCACCGACAATGTCCATGCGTTTGCTCCAGGAAGTTGTGCGTATTGGAGATGAGTCTAAAGAGGATATCTGGTGCTACAATACGAACCTCGCCATCCACGAGGCGCTCAGGATTACATCCGAGCTTGAGACAACCTCAAATTTCAAAGCATCCTCTCTTTAACAGCTAAACTGCTGCAGCGATATCCAAGCAACAAACCACTTTTAAACCAACGGGCTATAAGGGTGAAGCATTTTATGAAGTTTGCATTTGAGCCACTTTCATGGGCTAAAGACAGCCAACTGCAACTACGAAGCTTGGATTGCACATCGCTGAATGAACAACATCCTAGGATCTGTCGAGCATCCTATCAGCTACTTATTTCAGCCCACACTTTCTGGTTTCCCTAGCCCGCATAGAATTCAAAGCAACGCAAGCCATGGACACTGCTGTGCCAACAAACTACCCATCGCAGTTCTAGCGGGCAGGGGTCCTAGAGAATGACCCAGTGTGCTCCCGATACAACCCATGAATGTAACAGCTTAAAAATCAACAAAATTACGAGGTGCAGGGACGGATTTGAGACTGCATATTCGTGGTGGTTCGGCCATTTGGGTCTGGCTGATCGACTGGAAGTGCAACGCCATCGCCATTATCTCCTCCCTAAGAGAACAGCGCCCTGTGCTAGATACAAGAAATGACTTGACCGTCTATATAAGGCTGTTATCTCCCAGAGCAATATCTTTGCTTTATGATAATCTACGAGCCAGGGATAACAACACCAGAATGCTGTCACTTCAAGCCTAAACATCTTATTGTATTTGTTCAACCGCGTAACAAGATGTCTCTTCCTGATCGTGCCAACTGCTCCCGAAACCCGCTCTGCTACTCTTGTCTCCCAAGACGAGGCATAGGATGAAGGTTTGTGGATGAAAGGGATGACAAAATCAGGTCACAAAAAACCCCCCCCTGGAAAAGTAAGATATAACGTGCTATAGCAAAGTATTAAACTAAGGACATACCAAGCAAAGGAAATTAGTGATATTTTAACCACCCTATTATAGGCATGGTATTTCTTCTAATACGCCCTTAATTACAGCTCTCTTAGATGTTATAAAAGCTTCTCGGGTTGATCACTTTGAACTGCTGTGGCGTTGAGCTTTGGTGGCGCCCAATACCGGGCATGCCATGACTTGAATACTGGGAATCACGGTCGTTCCCAACAGCGACTTGGTAACCAAGGTTTAAACACCACCTCCACACGTTGATCGTATGACAGCAGCGCCACTGCGGGTCGGATTGCATCTGCCGCCGCTTAAATTCATTATGCTCCCCCCTACTATTCTCCGTGAATCAAACAAAGATATGCTCCCCGACATTTACAGTTGACATCCTCAGGAGATTCAACTTTTCCAAGGCACAATGGCTGCGAAACAATCCGCCGACAGCTGCGCTATACTCGAGGCCGGCGTCTTCTCCCTTCTCATCCGGGGCCGGGTGGGAACTGGCCCGTCTAATGGAGTAAACGACATGAATAGCATCGCACGATCTTATATACTACTACACCCTATTGCTCGTGCCGAACGGCCCGTCAAGAAAACACTCGCCAACAAAAATTCAGCAAGGGTCTTGATACTGCCAAAGAAAGCGCTCCCGTCTAAAGGAGAGCGCTTCATGGCGTTTGTTGCCAAAGCAAATGCATCAGACGATGGCGTCGAGGACGAACTCGCCACACCAGCCGATTACGAGACAAAAACCTCGGGCATTCGTCACACGCCAGCCGCGATAAAGGTCTGCGAGGGCACGTATACCCTGTCATCGGCGGCGGGTGGTCGCAAAACTCATCTGGTTTACGCGATAACGCAGCCAGAGACCCTAAGCAAGTTTCTGAGGGAGCATCTCAAGGTCCAAGACCGAGGGAGCTTTTTGATTAGTACCAGAAATCCTACCTATGAAGGCCCGGCCAATGTACAGCTCCCTGCAGGGCCGGAGTTTTCAGAAGAGTAGGTGCAGTTGTGTTTGCCCTTTTGAGACACCAACTAAGGCCGTACTGGCAGGATATTGAGCCATTTTCGATCCCTACGCTGGATCCCATCGACCCCTGATCATCTAGACTATGCTAATGCTCAGGTTCTGCTTATTGGTGAGAAATCTGTTGTTGACGAGGACCGCGAGTCTGAGGATGTGGACCGCGAGCTTGAGGTCAAAGTCGAAGATGTAGATATGATCTAGTAGGATGCCGATTTTGCAGGGAGCCTTGATATTCCTGTTGAGCGTTAGCATGCTCATGAGAGGAGTTGTACTTTTACTCTTCGAGGAATTGGAGGTGGATAGGGAGACTTGTGAAGCGCTACGGGAGGATCTCCGAGATGTTGAGGGGACGAGTGGAGGGTATTTGATAGGAGTTGTTGTGCTCATGGGTTGCCTATATGCTCTTGCGCGAACTGTACGAATGCAGGTATTTGACCGAGAAACCATATTGACGACCGAGTTCCTTTCCTGTCATGGAGAATAAAAAAGAGACAAACATTACCCTTTTGATCGTGCCAGGAGTGCGGTAGACTTTTGCCTAGTATATATCAAAGCAAACAATGGATAGAGGAACGAATACTCAAGATATTAAGGAGATGCAGATCTAAAGGAGGTTGAAGCACGGTGCCTAGGTCAGCTCGTTTGAATAAGACTTTAGGACTTTGATATTCCAACTGAAGGCCCTATTTAGCATGTTAAATGTAGGCACCTCTCCGTGTTTCGGTAACATAGGTAATAGAGGCCTTTCCAAAGGCATTCGATGAGAAACACGACTATATGAGAGATACTAATTGCGTGGTTAGTCACGGTTCCCTGGCCTAGGTACGGCTAAAATAAAGTGCTACTAGATGCCCTCCATCGAGCCCTTTTTTGATTTTTTTTTTTTAAATAAGTCAATAATATAATTAAATACCCTTGATTTGGCCCTGTTCTCATTATTTTAAACCAGTTAATAATTTAATAATAAGAGAAATTAATGCGATTAGCATGTTTGGAAATCCAATTGGTAAGTGACAAAGCGAATTCCAGAGCGGCACACACAGAACCAGAGCGGTAGCATGACAATACAACTGATCTTTTGACTTTCAATCAGCCTGGTAAAGGAACAACACATACTTGGTAAGAATGAAATTTCTACGAGTTTAAGATTTATCTTTGCGGACAATAAAACTCTAGTTCGTCTTGGGGAAAATCTGACCAGCAATGGAAACTCCGCTGGGATTCCAGCTAAAGTATTTGCGGCAGTGCTTCTCAAGTTTATATACACCATCCGCAATGCTACCGAATAAATTCAACGTCTTTGGCTTCTTATCCTGTACGGAGCAGCATTAGCAAGAGATGAAGCAGTGGGCCAAGCGGAAAATCATACATCATTGCACCACCAGATAGCCTCATTGGATGAGCAGCTTACTCGACCGCACGCGCCGGGTCCTGCGCCGTTGGTCGGCCTGGAGCCCGGTAGAGATAAGCGCGTCCCTCGGCAATGGCACCTCCATTGCAATACTACCGGCGGCCGCCGCAGAAGTATTTCGAGTTTGAAAAGGCGGTGCGCTTGGCGAGCTCGCCATGTGTCTCATCCCAACGAGCTTTCAGCTTGTCGCCGAGGCCAAAGTCTTTGTCCCGGCTGGGTCTTAAGAGACAGGAGCTCCTGGCGGACTTGCTGAATGGTGCCGTTGAGCCGGACTTTCTCGCCACCAGGGGTTACTTTCACCGGCTACTCGGGGATGAAGACGGGGCAGCCTTCGAAGTCGTTAAGAGCAGCGCTTAGGACCTAGGACGGTTAGTATACACTTCTCGATTTCTGGGAAGGCTTGGCGGGGACTCATACGGAGGTGCACAAAGCACCGGCGGTAAGGCATAGTCCGGGGATTCTCATCTTGGAACAGTCGGCGCAAGTTGGCAAGAGTAGTTTGGATAGGATCGTGGGAATAGAGATACTTCAAACACTATTTCCTAATGTTTAAACCAATCCTCGAGAGCAAGTGCTTTTTATATCTCTCAAATTCAGAGAGCTCTCAGCCTGACGAACAGCACGAGATATTTTCAATAAGACGCATGATGGATCCCGAAGCTTAGAGAGTAAGGAGCCGACATCTGTCCAGCGGGGTGCCCAGCCTTCCAGCCGGCATGCGAGTTATCTGGCAAGGATTGAACCATGATGGATAACTGTTGATATGGTCAGCACATCCAACGCTAGACAGGAGTTGGAAAAGATTGAGCATGAAATACCGATAGCCCGCAAGGCAACTTGGGCTTTTGAAGCATGAATGGCACCTCTTAACTCCAGCGCCCCGATTGTCAAACAATACAAGATCACGGCGCGTTTTTCCAAGGATTGGACCTTGGTAGGGCTGCGAATAATGAAAGATCGACTGGGCTTCAACCGGCCGAAACGGCGACCTTGAGGCTGCGGGGAAGTAGCTTATTATAAGCCTATTTGACAAAGATCGGCTAGATCCTCATCTTTGCCGGGGGCAATTTTTACTTATTCTAGATGATTGGGCGGACCTTGCCAGAGGCCGGAACGTTCTAAGCAAGGGCAAGTCAGAGAGCAGAGTGGGCTATTATTGCTGACAGAATTCCATTCAGGCGGCCTTTATGCGTATCTTCCAGCCTACTGAAATTCTTTATGTATTTATTTCATCATTCCTAGCTACGCAGAGCCGACCATGCGCCGTGAATCGAGCATTTCCCGAGTTAAATCGGACGTCGCGATGCGATTCTCTACTTGCCGCCCCTTTTCTCGACGCAGATCTTCTCCTCGGGCAGCTCTTTGACCAGCTATTAAGTAAGTCATGTAAGCATCTAAATATTTGATAAGAAGGTCAGACCATAGGTATCTACCGATCTTACCCCGTAAAACCGCTTGTGAAGCCCAATGCCGAATAGCCGGGGGCGGCGGATCGTGCCATCACAGAACATTCGAGCGGGGCGGCATCGTCAGTTCTGGGCGCTCATCGAATGATTGTCTCGGCCATTACTCCATCTGTATCATTTTCGATGCCCTCTAGCTTCAATAATCGGCTCAGGGGCGCCATTTATGTATGTTCAAGTATGCCGCACTCTGACGCCAAGGATGCGTAGCCACGTAGTATTGCATGTGATGTGTGATGGAGTATGGAATGTGGATAATTTTCTACAACTGCTGCGCTGTATGCACACGAATTGTTTCTTATACCGCCTACGAGCTACCGTTTATCGATATTTTCACAACATTAAGAACGGGTTGGGTTACTACTTTATCTGACATGCCTGCCAATTTCTGCGAGCAGTCTGAGCATCAGATGTCAACCTGACTCGAACCATTATAGCCAACGGATCTGAGCAACTTTTTACGTTATTACTTTCAGTAACATCGAGTTGTCAAGTCCGAGGTCTAGATAAATAGTAGGGTATACGTGATATAGGGTTAGGGTTAGTATCTTTGCATCAAGTTAACTATATCAAGTTGCTAGTTCCAGAATTCTCGAAGCACTACTGAAAGTGTTGGGGAAAGAATATACAGGAGTAGCTATTCAGGGGAATATAACACTATCAACTAAAAGTACTACATGGTAGTATGACTTGGTCACACTCTGCCCCCCGTCTAGCAATCTATACCAGGTTTACCAAAGGCGATTGTACTTCGAAGGCACTGCTATTAAAGGGGCTACAGGCATACTCTTATCATTCTAATCTAGTATTGAGTACTGGGATCAGGATGCTAGCAGCATTTGCGATAAACCTGCGCCAAGGAGCTCACAAGAGCTGAGCGATCCTCGTAAGATGTCTGCAACTAATACGAAGGCTTTTCATGCATCGTGAACTGTCTAGTAATTCGCATACGAAGCAGACTGTACTAATAATCGTATGATGACGCATTAAAAATGTCATTCCCTACAGCATCACCACAATAAGCTTACGTGAGACAACTCATCTCTTGCGTGTTTAACGTAATATTCCCGAGAGATTTTTTTCTACTTTTCAAAACCCAACAGGCGTAGTTTTCTTTTTCGTATCCTTGCAGAAGCGATTCAACTTACGAGCAGCTAAGGGTTCAGTTTGCGACCGAGCATTGTATTCCATCGTCCCATATAAGTAATGCTTAAAACTCACGGATCAAAGCCGGTAATTCAGAAAGAGACACTTTGAGCCTCGGAAGTGACCACAAATAGCTACAAAGTCTGGCTTCTAGTTCCAGATCGGACCTCGGGCCGTTCCGTCGCCATCGTCAGACTCTTTTTACAAGCCACTCCTGCAGGCCATTTTGCTAGGGATTGAAAATCCAATGCGATACATAGCCTTTTCTACTACCCCCTCCACCACATGATTGCCGTTTGTCTCCAGGGCAAGGGTGATTGCAGTAATACTCAAAATCGGCCCCGGTACGTATGTCGATATCGCGATCGGCATGGGTGCAGTCTAACGTGGACAGATTAGCCGCGTACTCCAGGATTCCAATCCTTGCCTGATGTGTGTCTTTCCTTTCCTTTTGTTGCTTCCTATTATTTACTTTGCGGTTCCTGGCACGAAACTTACAGCAGTTATCATCCTTGTCCAGAGCCATTCCATTTTTGCCGTGCTTGCGGACGCAGAAGTCGGCGCATGAGTTGACCGTCATTCTGTTGGCATCAGTGTATTTTGGGCCAGTGTATTTGGCTTCATCAAACTCGTAGCACCAATCGAACGTCAGTCCAGCCAGGTAGCCGGGCGCAGAGAGAAATTGCTCATCGCCGTAGAGACTAAAGGCATTGTGGCCACCACAAGATGCCGAGTCGTCCCCTGTGCACTTGTCGGTGCAAAAAGTGTCGTGAACAAGCTTGACCCCATGTAAAAGTTGAAAACCGCAAACTATATTAGATCAAGATTAGGTACTAGAGCTGCGAAAGAAACGGTGCAATGACTTTTTTGCTGTGGCACTCACAGCACGAATAGTCATCCAGAGCGACCAGGGGATAGTCGTTTCCAAAACCATCGTCAAAATGATGATTCCCGCTCCGACATGCTCTTGCGCAGTATTCGGGAGACGCGTTGACCTTTTGGAAGTTCAAAATATTGTATACCAAGGGGCGTGGAATCCGGGGGATGCCGTCGGACGGCAGGACAACACATCCTAGGTAGGGAGTGGTTTCTGCGGACACGCCTGCAACGGTTAGGCAGAGCATGAGTGATGGGACTGTGGTTCGCATGGCCGTTTCTTAGTTCTGGAGTCTGGTTGTTCTTTGCGGATAAATCATGAGATGTAGAATCATGATGTGGACTCCAGAGAATGTTTATGTATCCTAGCTGTAGTTCAATGAGGTGGGTTCCAGGTGACGACTTGCTATTTAGCAGAGATTATCTAAACGGAAGAGTTTGCGTCATATTTTTTGATAATAATCAAAAGGATATAAAATACAAGGAACTATCCATTCTCCTGATCGAAGAACACGTACGTCCGCAGCAACCAAATGCATGAAGCCCATTTAATGGAAGCCTGCTTCTGTTTGGCTGAGAATTACGGCACCTCCCAGAATTTGGCACTTGCAAATGCAAGCATGGCTCGACTCCAGGCTGTCGTGGTCACCGAGACGATTGGTCATATGCGCTCTGCAGCTAATCGGGTAGTATCCAGCCATAACCGGATCAAAGAGACACAGAGCCCGCCGCGTTGTATCTTTGCTGCCGGTTTAGGGCAGTGTAACACGAATACAGCTATCGTTGTATTGGAATCGGTTCCGAGGGTCAGTCCTGAGAAATTCACGCCTCTGTTTATGAAGCACGTTGTGGTCATGTGCCTCATCGTTCACAGTTTTCTCCAAGAGGACAATTCCAAATGCCCGGACCAGAGCATTAACTGATGAAATATAGTTGCTGACCTGCTGAAGAGACCGGGGCCTACCAAATTCGGTCTTGTACATGCAAACATGCTTCAACATGAGCTGTCAACATCACTGAATGATACATCATTCGTGTTTTGGAGATGGCGCTGTGAGGTAGTATCCATTCCTGGAGGTGTCCTAGCCGGTCTACCTGCTGGTATGGCACATGACGACCTAAAGTGCACTCTTCTGTAAATATTGAGTACTGCAGTTGTGGGAGTTGGTCTAATACGTACCGAATTCCACATCCTGCATCTATAGTATGCAGGTTGCGTTGCATGGACAAAACATCCAAGAACCAACCATACGCAAGTACCTCGGAAGCACAGAGTAACCCTGAAGTGATTCGTGCCACTGCACCTACTGGGTCGGCGCCCTGTTCTTCTACATGACTGTTGAGGCTTATTCCATAGTGTCGACGTCTCTGTGAGTATTTTGACAGCCAGCGGTTAAATTGTGTACTTTCCTACGGACCTTGGAGAACTGTCATCATCATGATTCCAATACTACGCTGAGGGCTGATGCTGCACATTCGGCAGAGAGCGTAGAAAATATGGTTGCATGTATATCTCGTCTATTAGTTTCTCTATAAACCCCTACCTGGCAGCTATGTCTTTCGTCATGCCTCCGTTTTTTACGCCTATTGCAATCAATGGTGAATAGCCGCTGCGAGAAATAGACATAGTAGAGTTTACTTAACTACAAGCCATCTTTCAATAATACTTATTCTGTCTTTGGCAGTTTTCGGTCAGATCAAGAATATTCTGCCGCAACCAGGCAATATTACCCTCACGTTGCCGAAGCTCGATCCTACATGTCCTCTCATCGTCGTCACCCCTCGCGGCACAAGCGTCCATTCATAACTCCACGCCGCAATTTCAGCCATCTACTTCCTCTATTTCCCCTCGACCTAGTTTCTGGTCTCAGCAGAATGAAGATCAACTTGCTGAAACGCCCCCCCAACGGTCCATTCGGAGCTGGATTCTGGCATTGCACAATACATACGCTCTTCGCAGCTCCAAATGTTCCTCGACAATCCAACCGCTCTGGTAGCTCTATAGTCATTAGATTCCTCACCATTGCAGCATTGTTCAGTCCCCTATTACCGGGGACCTGCGTCGTGATGATGAGATTGTTCCACTTTAGACCCGTCGCAGCTTCATCAATGATACATCTAAATGGCCCGGCGCCATCTTGATTAACTTGATGAAATGTGATATTCATAAGAGTGCCAGGGTACGCTGCCGGGACCGCTCCCTGGCTGACCATTCTCTCAGTGCTCGAGGGGATGTCGTTGTTGAGATCGGCCAGCACTGGGTCGTATCCCGGGGCACCGCAAACCCTTCGGTCGGCTTGCATGTGTGTTTTGCCGCAGCCCTTGGCTGCAGCAGTGCTGAATTGTGCAAAGACTGTGGTGTCTTTCTGGAACGCCGTGCCGCTCCCGTCTCTGCGGGCATTGAGGTTTGCGCCCATCCCGTAGCCGTGGGCTTTGCTTGCAGAGCCGATCGTGTCGACGATGACGCAATGAGCAGAGGCACACGATGTCATGAGAGTGGCGATGGTAAATTTGCAGAGACTCTTGGCGTTCATTTTGGCTCTATGGAATAGGGATATTGCTTGGGGTCTTGGCAGGTCGATAGGGGGGCTTGGGCTCTGGGGATTCTGGCCCGAGAAACCCTGACACAGAGCGCCGTCACAAAGTAGTAAGCGGAATTACTAGTGAGGGCCGCTGTGAAGTAGTTGCGTTGGAGTTGAGGGGGTTATAAGTCGATTGTTTGTTCGGCTTGGACTCGATATCTCAGCCGTACAGTTTGGGGCACAAGGTATTAACCAGATTAGGATCAGGTATCCGGATCTCGCTATCTATAGTATTAGTGTGTATTGACTTCTCGGTGGGCAAATGCATCCCGCCAGACTGTATGCGAGACCAATATGACAGGTCATTCCGCCCCCATGTGATTTTCACTCCATGTCGCCCTGCTTTATCCAAAGTCTGTACTGAGAAAATACCTTCTACCAACATCAGACTTCAAGGCAACAGAGTCAAGTTTTTTAAAGTGGGAAAAACGAGCCCAGGAACTAAGCTTACAAGAAGACAACAAAAAGCATATGGAATGGTTCTACCAATCAACAAAACATAGTCTTGCTTAAATTTGAACTATGGACAAAACGTTTCCCTATTCTTGTCCCCTTTTAGATTCGAAGCACAAGAGCTGAGTCGAATGGTCGCCTTTGCTAAGCTTACGTGCCGCTTCATCACCGTTGTTGCAATCAAGAATGTGATGTGATGCAAGACACTTGGCATTCATACTAGCCAGTGCACTCAGGAAGCTCTGTGTAGATAAAGGAGCCAAATCCAGCCTACGGACAGCGTGGCTGCTTACACACATGACCCGTTGGCCAATATCAGGAGGTAATACCCGGTGCTAGACTCCGACGAGCAACGCCCGCAGGTCACGCAGCAGGTCAACATGCAGCTTTCGGCAATGCAAGCGCCACGAAATGCACCCTGCCGCAACCATATGCGTGGTAAGTTATGCTGGAACACTCACATAAATGCCGTCGCCGTCCACGCCGTGTAGCCAGCACATCAATCCCTCTTCCTAATCTTGGGAAAACTCAGCCAAACCACCGTCACGACCGCAATCAATGCCAGCACAATCGGCTGCAAAACCTGGACACCAGCCGTGCTCGCCACCGCACCGATCATGAACGGAAACACAGTACCACCCGTGCCTCCCAGCGCCATTGCAAACCCAATCGCACTTACATGAATCCTCTTGGGAAGGAGTTTCGCCGTGACCATGACCGCCCCCGGGAACATGGGTCCCAAAAAGAAGCCCAGAAAGGCAATTGCTACGGCAGACACCACAAACTGCGGCACCAGCCAGAACAAGAGCTCCAGCGCAATGCAGATGGCGAGATAGACCGTCAGACAGATGCGTTCCCCATACCGCTCTGTTGCGAATCCGAGTGTGGCACGCCCGAGAGTCATGCCAGCCCAGAAGCCGGAGCCTGATATCCCCGATGCGTAGGGCGTCGCGTGGCGCACCTTGAGCATGAATGTCACGACCCAGCCTCCCAGCCCGACTAGTTGCGCCGATCAGTCTCGAGTAGAATCATGTTCACCAGGTCGGCAACTCACCCTCTACCCCCATGTACAAGAAGAAGAAGGCGGCACATAACCACGTAACTTTGGACTTGGCCGCCTCTCTTGTCCCAGCACCAGATCCCTCATTTTCACTTGCATGTTCGGCCCTATACACCGAGCCGGGTTGGTCCCAAAACGCAGCCGCCAAACCTCCAAGTTCCAACGCGGATGTCCCAATCTATTGCCATCAGCTTCAACCGCCCATCGCTCGCGGAATCCCATAGTCTCACCATGACATAATAGTAGCTGTACCACGGCAGGCCGGCCTTGACAACCATGCTTGTTGCAATGAGCGGCGCAAACAACGCGCCGAGCGAGTAACACGAGTGCAAGACACCCTGAATGGCATTCGCCTTGTCCATGGCGCCGAGCCACGCGCAAAAGCATGCGTCCGTGAGACCGTTGCCGAAGCCGCTTATCGCATTCGCCACAACGAGCGCCGGGTACGGTGGATGCGAGGCGAGAACGGCGTACGTGACGAGGTGACACAGCGGCGCCATGATGCTGACGCCGCGCCGGCCCAGGGCCACGTGGATGCGCGCATTGGTAAATGCCGCGAGAGAGTAGCCTACAAAGGGGGTGAGGAAGATGAGAGATATAACGGTGTAGTTCAAGTTGTAGTAGGCTTCGAGCTACCCGCCATCAGTGCCGTGTCTCGATATCTCGATGGGAGAAGAGACGTACATAGGGGATCAGCGCCTAGGAGGTTTGTCAGTATCAAGGGTTGCCACGCAATGAGGGATACATACGCCGATCGCGCCGTCATTCATGCCTGCAATGATAAAGGACAGAAATGCAAAGCCCAACTTGAACAAATTCGACCGCGGATAGTTCCATCTCTCCACGTGGCCCTGGGCATCGGCGGGCGGTTCACCGTCGCCGCCGGTGGTTCCTACTTTTGCTTCGGCGGTTGCCCGGGAAGTGTTGGTGTCTTTTAGCTGGACGTCTATGCCACGACCGCAGGATACACGAGACGAAAAGCGCGTTAATTCAATGGTATCATAGGGAGGAGAATGGATCTCCTGCGTGGAGGCGATGGTTTGAGACATGCTGCTGTGTCGATAGCTTCATGCGATGGCCGCTGGTTCTACGACATACATGTGCAAAACACGTTGCTATCATGTGTCCTATTTGAGAGTGAGAATGAAGAATGACGCTTGAAGGGGTGAAAGCGGAAGAAATAGATGACAAGTGCTGGCACGATGGGCATGTCGGCGACTCGGCGCAGTATCCCTCATAACCAACCGATCCCGGATGTTGCCCCGCAAAGGCCCGAGCCAAACATCTCCAATGAGCATAGTCGTATGGATACATATGTAGACTTATCGGATAGAAATAACTTATCACCTGCAGCCAAATGCATTAGAATAAGCCAAATTGGTACGTCTGGTATTATAAAGTGGTATACCATTTCTTTTACTGCCCACCAGCCGTGAATGTTTTGAAAGCAAATTCGACCAACGCCGCCTCCCGTGTAAACTCCGGATATGAAACACGCGACACATATTCAACATTCCGATGGGATCATGACATGACGAGAATTTGTTCCACGAGCCCTTGTTCCACAAGCCTCTATTACGCGGACCTTTGTTCCACGGCTCGCTGCTTGTCTTTTTCCGAATACTTCTTCTTGTATACGAGCCCTCCTTCCGAGTACCTCCTCCATAGTGGTAGTTGGTAGACAGAGAGCATTCATATGTCTGGCATGTTTTTGTGATATCCCTCACGCTGTAGATAAGCATCTGCATTTTTCTGTTCAAATCTATTTTCCTGGCAGAGGCAAAGTATGGAAACGCCGCGGTAGTGCCTGGCCGTCCTGCAAACCAGCCCCATATTCTCTCCGGTAACGGGGTCGTTCCACGTTTCAGTGAGCTGCGCTGAACATCAACAGGACTGGGACCCGCCCTGTTGACCAAGGAATTGATAAGTAATTTAGAATAACGGGTGTAAAGGACCCCTCACAGCCTCTAGCGGAGGATTCTTTCGGCTGATGCAGGGACACGAGTTAATGATACTCGCGATTCCGCTCCAGCTGACCTTGGAGACGGATATATTCGGAATAAAGCGCTTCGAGCCGCACAAGGGACGCGGGGAAACACAAACTTTGGACCATTGATGCGAATCATCAATATTATACATGCCGGCGCCGTACTAGATTGCTCTCTTAGTGGCCCATCACTGATGTTACTACCCACCTAGGTAGGTACTAGGTACTCAGGTGCAGCCTAACATCTTTGTACTTTGCCTGGACAAAGTTGGCGACTCACAGATCTGACACGGCAGCTTAACTTCTGGGAGGTGATATGTTGCCACGGAGGCTCTCGGCTGTGTTGTGACCTTTCAACATGCGAGACCGACGTCGTTCCCATCGGTCGGCTGGCCCGTCTTGTTGACGATCTGTGTGCATTTTTTGTTCCATACTTGGCGTAGTACTGCTGGGACGTGCCAAGTATCCGAGGGAATAGTCGAACTCGGAGTAAACGGAACGAGAGTAGACAGGCACAGATTAGGGCCACGTTGATCTCAACAACTGACCAAATATCGTCATTAAAGAAGTCCCCCGTGGGATTGGTAGAATCGGATCCAAACTTGATCAGTGATTTGAGGCGCAAGATACTCACTATAGTAACACTGCAGACAGCCATTGTTAGCAGTGCTCTGGGGTTATATAAATGGTAACGGCTCAGCAGATAATGCACCAACACCGAACATCAGGCCGACTCTAACCCTCTTTTTCCAGTCCAAGTTGAGCATCTTCAATTGCCATCAGGGAATAGCCAGCATCGATCCATCCAGAAGAATACCTATCGCGGCATTCGAACATGCCTCTGCGTTAATATTGGGGCATCGTTCCTCAAAGGGAAGTCCACAGCTTCATATTGTCCGACGTTGTTGGCCCAGAAAAATACGGTCTCAATCTCTAAAATTGAAAACGGGAGCCATCAACATTTAATGCCGAAAAGTATATCCAACGAGATTGGGTGTTTATATAGACGGCTATTCCAGAATCTAGAAGACGCAGTGGCCCGGAAGTCGAGCCGCCTTAATAGACCAGAATCCTGTTTGAGGGGATGATAGGCGCCACTACCCGAAGCCAAGAGTGAAGACCTGGCTCACCTCCCGCAAGACCCGTGCGTGAGAGAACTGATGTCCAGATGTCCCTGTCCGATATGCAAATGACATATGATTCCGTAGTACAGTTTGACAGCCACACCGTTGGGGCTCAATGGGTTTCCAAAGTAGACTCCCAGGAACCAGTGGTACAGAGTCAAGCGCACCGTTTCAACATGATGTGTTAACTGACTCAGAGATTGTTGGCCGAGACAACGCCTCTCATGTGCAGTCTGAGGCAATAAGTGCTAGCGAAACTTCATGTACCATGGGGTCCAGGGACGGTGGCGTTGGTGGACCTCAAGATGGGCGAATAGTTATTGCTTTCTGCTGCAGACTACAGAGCAGTCCAACGTTCGCATCAGACGGCAGTACATTGCTTTTTGGCTGGGATCGCAAGCGCAAAGACCATTACCGACGGCTGGAGAATTTTTGCATTTCATCTCAACAATGAGATACCCGGGATGCTACTATAATCGGCGTCTTCTCCATCATTCCACCGATTCGCAGATCGCCGTATACTCGAAGAGTTCGCACGCAGCATAGACTTACAGGAGCCTTAAGCTAAAGACGGGTCCTCGTGGGTATTTGGTGCGGAACTGCGCGTATTTGTCCCATTGAAATCGTCAACCCGGGCATTTACGGGCCTGGAAAATGGCTCGAAGCGGGCAGGTGGGTAGGCACAACACCCGTACTGGACATTAGGTAGGTGGCCTTGTCAGTATTTTCTCGACAAACGTACCGTGCTGAATGGTGGATGGCTTGGACCCGAAACCAAGAAAAGCCACTGACGGATTGGTGGAGTCAGGTACGAGCACACGAAAGGGTGAATGACATTGACAAAGTGGTCTGGAAGTCGGCGGTCAGAAACAGGGTTTCTCGCTGCGTGGCGTTCCGGCATAGTTCTGATTCCAGATGAGAGCTATTGTTGGCTTGGTTTGTCGAGGGCGCTTCACAATGAAGATGCGCCCATGGGGGGGGAGGCGGGGCGCTGACTTGTTGAGGTTGCCAACAACCAATCGCGCCAGTGGGCTTCGCCGCGTCGCGTTGAGAAGAAGCGCAGATGGCGTACTCCGTACCGGAAGCCGAAGCATTCCATGTCGTGTCAACTGGTATCTAGTCCTACGCCAGCCGTACGGCAATGAGGGGCTTTCAATGCTGTGGAGGGTTTCCGCAATAGCAGGTCGTAGCTGTCACTAGTACAAGGAAACAGAGGTCCATTGGCGGTGGGTGGGAGACCTTCCAGGAAGGAGCGAATGTTTGATGGCACATGGGAGATCTCGCAGCTCCTTCCGCGTCAATCAGCATTCACACCAAGTTGCATATTTCCTCTCGGCAGCTCCCGGGCGACTCAGAACTCACCCCGGCGCCGGAGAAGGCCTGTTGGTGATCCGCAGCTGGTCCAACGGGTAATTCTTCCAACTGCCGTGGCGCCTGCCAGCTGCACTACCAAAAGTGGAGAACCCTTCCTAGTGCTGGTCATCTTAGAAAGACAGGACCTTCTTCTTCACTTCCTGCCGATATCCAGCTGAGACTATTGCCCCAGAGCATTGGCTGCAGTATCTCCACACATGCATGCGGAGTAGCCGTGGTGGTGTTGCAAGGTGATGCGGGACCAGAAACTGGGAAAACGGTGGACAGTTGCAATTTCCCACAGCCTTCGCGACAACCATCATTCAGTCTCTCGGAGGACCAGTCTGGTCATCCGGCTTCGAGGCCCACCAGACTCTATTATCCGACGCAGGCAAGGCAACTCTCCTGCTCTCCGATCTGTCGGCTAGAAGCAGGAACAGTACCCCCCGACTCCAGTTTGTCGCATGGCCATACTGCCAGTTCTTCCCTTGATTGTGTCGTCGTAGACAGTCAAGAATGAATTATGTCGTCCGATGTCTAACCGAAACGGTGAGAGTCTGGTATTTGATGGTTTCTAGTACTCTGTACACGATTCATATTGTGACTCGTGATGGCCGGCGCAACTACCTAACAGCAGCCTACATATCCAACGTGAAAGACGATGTAGCTTAATGCGCAATACAACACCTTTAGTCCAAATATTCATTCCATTCATTGTTGTAATAAAACCTTTCTCCATCAACAGGTCTAACAAGCGGTTTCGCGAGCCAAACCACACTCGACACAAAAGTCTAGGGTAGGCCTTGATCACAAATCGTTGCAACAAATGCAGCGCGAGCAATTGCTTTAAAAAGAAAAAACCCCCGTTGTCGAATTTTGTGTCACAACTCTATTTAAAGTTGTCAAAAATGAACGAACAAACGGCGTAGCGGCAAGGCGGTTGTGAAGGATGACGCACGGCAACCAGGCGAGGTTTTCACGATGTGATTGTTAAGAAATCCCACTCAACCTGATGGGGGAAGGCAAAATCGACCATTCTGACCACGGGCTGGGGAATCAGAACGGCGTGGTGCTGGGCAGTGGCCCTGTTGCGTGGATGCAAATGCTGGATTTGGCAAAGGAGACGGGCGGAAAACCGTGGGCCAGTAGTGTTTGGTGAAATTGCCACGTAACTCGTTAGCTACTGTAGTGCAAAGCTGTTTAGAGCTGATGACGACGTTGTAATTGAAGTAATGCGTGGCTTGTATACGTGTGCCATGTGTATCATAAAGCTCGGTGAGATCACTCATCACAACTCGGCCCTCGGCAGACTTTGAATGCCGGACAGCCATGTATAAGCTACTCATCCCAGGAGCCGCCCACTCGCCCCCTGGAAAAAATCACAGAGCATCATTCAAAACGAGGCAACATGTCGTACAACCCGCAAAGAAAGCCCGTTGTCGCCGTCGCCCGCGAGCTTGTCTCGCACGGGTTTGTCGTAAGCCTTGATTGCGCGCACCACAGAAAAGCTGCAGACCATCCAAAGGGGCATCCAAGCGGACCTTGGCCAGGATACGGCAAGATACTACAGCACCGACCTACGCGAGGAAGAAGACGTCAACTCCAGCTTCCGGAAAATTCGCCACGAGCTCGGAAGCGTACAGGTGCTTGTCTACAACGCCGGCGCACGTCGCGTCAACGGGCGCTCAATCCTGGACACGACAGCAGAGGAATTCGAGAGCTTCACCAAGATTAATCTCTTGGGCGCGTTTTGGTCGACGAAGTGCGTTCTCCCAGATATGCTTGAGGCTGGTCGGGGGGGACAATCATCTATACGGGGGCGACGGGCTCGCGGCGCGGCATACCTGGCTTGAGCAGCTTGTCGCCCGGCAAGTCTGTGCTTCGGGCGCTGGCACAGATTGTGACGCGGGAGTATCAGAGCCATGGCATCCACGCAGCTCATGTAATTGTTGATGGGGGCGTTGATGGCAAGTTGATTGGCGGCGTGCGTCGACTGTGGGAACGCGCGGGTGACGAGAAGCTGGGCGATGTCGAGGCTCATTTCATGCAGCCTGTTGATCTGGCTAGGATTTATTAGAAATTGCGTACCCAGCCGCGGAGTACGTGGACGCATGAGTTGGATGTGCGGTCTGAGAAGGTAAGTATGATCTCCAAGGTGAAGGAAATCGCTCAACGTGCAACCCATTTGATAAGAACGGTTTTGAATGTTCTCGAAAAAATTGGGATGACGTTGCCCGATACTTACAGATTATATGTATATATATATTTTGAAGTACTTCTCGGGTGGCATAAGACGCTGTTTGTCCCAGTTTGGCACAAGGTCCCGGCGATCCGTGTGTCTCCGGTCTCCAGGTAACCTGCTCTGTTTTGGAAGATGACCAATGGCAAAGAGAAAGAAGAAGAGAGGGGTGCGATGGAGCAGGGAGTGGTGTAGAGGTAGTGGCAATGGAATATTTACCATATAACATGCTGCCGTATCACTCTGCTGCGAGTCGATTGGACCATCTACTACGGTTTCCAGGGAGGTTAGATACACAGGCTGGGCCGCGTTGCTTTGGAGCCGGCACTACTGTCACTCAATTATTTGGCCTTATGTTAGAAAAAGCGAGCCTTAGGATGGGTGTATGTTTATTTCTGTAGAATACCTCAGTACTTTCCTGACAAGCTCGCATAGAGCCCCTACTTGGCATTGTGATATAAGAACTACCCTAGCGACCTGGGCAAAACCTATATACGGACTCATACGACCATCAGGCTATGCATTTACCATTTAAAACGGGAGAACTCTCCAGTATTGGGCACGGCCATGGATCTGATGGCAGCGCGAATCCCCAGGGGCAATTCTCAGAACTCTGGGGGCGCCAGTATCATAGATGTACACTATAATTTTCCCACGTCAACATGCTGGTCCTCAAAGTTCAAAGAACAACTTACAGTACTGATGCTGAATGTAGGACTTGACCGACTTTACGCCGTGCTGAAGCGGTCCTTGATGGTCGTCCGCAGTGACGGTGATGCCCTTGCCTCCCTGGCTGCAATGTTCGTTCGAAAATATATCAAAGGTACCGATGAATCCTCCAAGAGGCATTTCTTCCTCCCAAGTATCGACGTAGCCAGCATTAATGCCGCTGGCCAGACCGGCAAGGAGCATGGTAACAGAGCTGAAGCGCATTTTGGTGTTGGAGATAAAAAAGTGTCGGGTGTAAAAGGTTGAAAATTGTGTGTGAAGTTTTGAGACTGTGTTTTTTGCTTCTTACTCGGAATCTTGATGATTATTCTCTTCAGTAAACTTTTCATGTGGGATGCTTGGAGTCTATTTATACTTTTAAAAACAGTTGTGAGGGTGCAGGTGATGCCGTACCTCTTGGCGTCGATGAATCTTGTCAGCATTGCGAGATGACGTCCTGAAACTGTCTTTTCTCCGCACTTCTAGAACGTAGTCCATGAGGTGAACGTTTGTTGTTCCCACTCTGATTTTCTAGTACGCGCTGTATTTCAGTTTAGCCACAAAAGCTGCATGCGTGTGCTCGTCGCGACAAGGTTATTGATATGAACGGCCTTGACTGCATTTTATACGTCACATATAACAGTTCTGTAGTCGTTTAAGATAAGATAGAGTTTTTAGTCTTTTTTTGATAAATTTATTTTTACGCTCGTCGTAGTAAGGATGTCCTAAAACTCTAATATACGGGTATTACTAAGAATTGTATTTGCAAATAGAGTTAGAGTTTAAAAGTGTTTGATACCGATAGAATGAAAAATCTATAGACAATTGGGAGTATACAATACTCTTTTACTGTAGATCTCTGTACAACGGCGGAGCCGTGCCGCTTCGGAGGACAAGATAGATCTTGATGGGGGAGCATTTTGAGCCAGCTCCGTCATTCAACGCAACCATGCGAGACAATATGATTGGTAGAGAGTACTCCGATATAATATCTTGGGTGCGGGGAAGCGACGCAGTATTACGTGATGTAAAAAGTAGCAAACAAATACCGTAACCATCGTCTGCCGACGAGTGTCCGAGAGCTGCCGCTCTTACTGATGCTGGTCCATGGTGGCGTGCAATACTGCCAACCGGCATTCCTGTGCAATTGAAGCAATAACCTAATCTCGAGTCGGCATATTGGTGACACTGCATGTCAGTAGGGGAACAGAAGCTGACCGATTTGATGCGACGGCAACTGTGCGGCCTCCGCCATGCACGGTTTGTACAAGGTCGGGCAAATCGAACTTGTTTACAGAGTAGGACAATGCACTACTCCCGGAGTCTGAGGCGAAAATACCACAAGTTCCTTTTTTTTCATTCATCTGTTAGGTAGAAAGTAGCAATTCTCACAGCAGGCCCTTCGTTTTGTGGTTATATAACATTAAAGTCTTTATCAATACCGGGCCGCTAGTCTTGTTGACCTTGCCCAGTGAACACTGGTAGCCTCTCGGACACTTCGTCCCATGTTTCAGCTCCGGCAGTGAGATTTCTAATCGCCTCAACAATCTCATCTTGAGATGCGCGTACCTGGACCCTGGAGTCCCGTTCTCGCAACGTCACGGACTCGTCCTTCAAAGTGTCGAAATCCACCGTGATTCCAAGCGGGGTACCGAGTTCGTCATTTCTTGCGTATCGCCTGCCGATAGAAACGCTAGACGAGTCTACATTATTGGCAATACCCATAGCTCTCAGCTGACTGGCAAGGCTTTTGATTACGGGCTTGAAGTCGGGGTTATTCGAGAGCGGTACAAGCAAAACCTTGACGGGTGCGACGAGGATAGGCAACGAGAGCACCTGCGGAAATTATAGTCAGCATAGAAGAGAAAAAGACGGGCAGGTTCCATGTTGCGTACCTCTCGAGCGACGTCCTGCGGTCTGTTCCAGTAGACGTGTTCCAGAATGCTGTAAAGTATCCGGCCGATGCCAAACGAAGGCTCAATGACATTGGGCGTGTACTCCCGAGTAGTCTCTACACGAGTGGTTTGTTTGATGGAGCAAATATCTGATGTGAGCTCTACAGATTTGGCACCATTTGCAAGCTCGTCTGTGGAAATTGTGATGACGTCCTTTTCAGCTAGCTCTGTGGCTAATTGTCTGAGACGATCTTGATCTAATTGCCCCATTGCCAGTTCGATCTTTTTGGCATCCATCTTGAATCGAGGCCCCGCAAGCCTCTTTTCCAGTGTTGCTTTCCATTCCGTAACCTCAAGAGGAGTGGCGCGGGCTTCTTTGACGGTCAATGCGGTTCCAGTCTCTCGAGAATGAACAGTCAAGTCGTATGCACTCCGGTCAGCACAGCCAACACACTCAATCCAGCCGTAGCTCGTCAGAAGCTCCGCGTCCCAACAGTCGCATGCATAATGTGCCATCTCATTATCGAGATGTTGCCGGAACCGTAATTTTTGCGCATCTGCGCCAATCTTGAGTAAGAATAGGTAGACTCTTGCCAGGAAGTAGCCGAGGGTTTCGTTATCCACAAGTTTCGTCTCGACTGCCTTGCCGATGGACATCGATGAGATGGATGTTTTTCCAGAGAGTTGCGTCTGCTTATCCAAGAACGGCAGTTTAATTTCAGCTATTTCGCCAAAACGTTCGTGGCGCTTGTTGCTCTCCGGATCAACAAAATGTTCAATTTCTGCCATTAAGAATTCTCGAACTCGGAGTAAGCCCGACCGTGGAGAAATTTCATTACGATACGACTTCCCAATGCAAGCGGATGCGAACGGCATGGACCCTTGGCAGTAGTCCAATAGCTTTCGGAAGTTGAGAAATTGACCCTGGGCCGTCTCGGGCCTAAAGTACACAGGAGAAGCTGTACTCGGGCCAATAGTAGACCGAAACATGAGATTAAAGGCAGTTGGTTCTTCAACCTTTCCATTACCATTGGGGTTCCTAATGTCAAGCTGCCTAATGAGTTTACCAAGCTCGGGGCCATCGTAGTTGTCGATCTATTTGCCGGTTAGATTCGGAAAGCTTGTGGCATTTACTGGCAGAGCAACGTCTTACTTTGGCAAGAATTTCTTGGTACTGTTCTACCTCGGCATTGCCTAACCTTTCCAACTTGCTCTTGCTGTCAAGGGCAGCTGATTGGCTATTTGCCAACCTTGTTTCCAGCACAGTTGCAACGAGGTGATCGGCACGTAAATATTCGCCCTTGACAGGGTCTTTGCACATCCAATCAGCAAATTTATCAACGTGACCACTTGTTTTCAATACTGCCTCTGGTGTAATGGCTGTACAGTCGATCTCGAGCATATTCTCTTCGATAACGAAGTGCTTTCGCCACTCGTTGACGATGTTAGCTAGCAAAGCACAACCGGGCGGTCCATAATCATAGAGGCCTCGATTGTCTCCCTTGTAGTTGGGTGCAGTTCGGTACACTTCGAAGGCTTCGGTAAAGAAAAACCGCCTTTTCAGTAGCGATTCAAACTGTGGCCGGTTGAACACGTCGCCAGAAAAGGTTGTAAGATTCGCCATGTTCTTTCACAATGAAAAGGATATTTGTTGAGGCAGCTGAGCTGCGGAATAGAAGAAGAAACAAAGCGCCCCCTCCTTTGTGTCCAGAGAAATATGACTCACTCTGGCCTAGGCAGTGCTGGGCCAACGCACCTGACTCTTGACTAAGTCGCAACAGAATGGCGGTTTGAGCGGAAGTCTTGCAATTGCTTCCGGATATCTCTGGTTATCTTACCTTGATACCACTGCACAACTAGGCTCTTGGGTCCCTCTTCCGTGCCTGGCGTTTGCAGTCCCCAGGATTTCTCCGGTTGAGGCGGACAAGGATGTACCTCTCTCTTCCCTGGATCGCGCCATGAACAAAACCATGGTCCCAACAGTGTGGGGACGAGTTATTGTGTCACATTTGCCCGAATCAATGTTGGCCGGACATGTTATGTGCGGAAGTGGCCACTTAAGTCACATGTGCAGCCAGTAGTAGCCGGTCCATTTCGCCAAAAACAAACTGATTGGTAGTGACCGATGGGCTTCAATATTGGGCCTTGTATTGTGACACAATTGCTTCTGTTTGAATCTAGGAAGGGAACGAGAGCTTGCAGCAGCAGACGTCACGCAATGCAACGACACCACAAAATGGCGCCACTCCGTCACTAGCGAGCTGTTACAGCATCCGACATGCAGTATGGAGGCCTACCATCAGAACACCCGTGTCCCCTTGCATCATGAGAGACCAAGAGTTTATGTGCATACATTTGTGTTGTCCATGCAGTTTAAGACTGGGCATAGCATGGTAGACTGTATAGAACACGTCATATATTTTATTTCCCGTCATCTACTGACGATACAATGAAGCTGGATAAGAACTGTAGGCCTTCGCTACGTCTACTCTGTCCCTGCATATGACCCTATTATGAGCTGGCCCAAGCTGATTGAGTGAAGTGCATGTTTAATACGGAATACTGCTCATGTATGTGAAGTCATGTATGAGACAAGAATGGGTGCGGAGATCTTGGTAGGAATGACGGGCCAACCGTTTTTGAACGTTGGCATGTACGCAGCGGCCATCATGCCCAACAATGTTGGCTTACATATGCCACAGATGCTATGGTATGAAAACATTCTTCTTTGAGGGGTTATAGGTGTTGGCGTGCAGATGGGCGACTACAATCGCTATTAGCTCGATGGCCAGGCTTTGAAGTGCAAGAGGCGATACCAGAGGTATGAATAGGACTCCATTCCTCTACATTGATCGACTTATCCAGCAGAGTGGTCTTGAGCGTAAAGCCCGAGCGCACAACACTTCTTCCTCAACGACTTTTTTGATCTACCTTCATTCTTGTTCACCTATTTCCACCATGCTTGGCTGCACCAAAATCTTGATGCTCAGCGCACAAATAGTTGCCATAGCAACTTCTACTGTTAGTATCAGTATTCTCTACAAATTCTATCCCTAGTTTATGGGTGAATACTGTAACTAAAAAACTCACTTCAGCCGGTGTTGAGCAACAACGTCAAGCGCGATATATGGCCTGGATGTTTGAATCCGCACCCAACCCCAACACCCACATGTCCCAAAGCTAGTAAGTTCCGTTAATTTGCCTGTCCAGTATAGTCTACGAGTCTAACAGGTTGATACCCAGGTGTTACAAACCCAAGTCCAGTGCGGTCACCAATGGCTCCCAATTGTAACAAGTTTTGCTGGGTTCCGCCAGGCTCCTGGTGCGACCCTGTAGCGAAAAATAACGGCATCACGGCTGAGCAACTTACGACTTGGAACCCTTATGTCGGCCCCAAGTGTACTGGACTGTGGGCTGACTACTACGCCTGCATCGGTGTTAGCGATGAGGCAAAGTCAGCATGATTTTTCTAGGTTTGCACATAAGGCTCCGACTGGTTCAACGCCAGGAGCAATTACTTATTGGCATTGACGGGGATATGTTGCTAGTTTGTACTAAATTGACCCGCAATATATTTTTTGATTGATTAAAGCACTTAAGTTGGCATGGCTATTGCGCATTGGTTCAATAAAAGAGACTCATTCCAGGATGCGCAGTCTCTCTGCCTAACATGGAAGCCGCTTTTGGTGCTTTGACCAACAGTGAGGCAACAAAAAGCTAGCAAAATTCAATACAACCAATACTCTAATTCGGGGGTTAGGTGCATGATTGCTCTTGGATATCTGCTCGTTGCAGGGAATACATAATTACTGACTAACAAAACAAACCTGTTTCTTCCAGAGCGGAATGGGGCGTTTCTGTCCTGCTAGTAGCGAGGCTATGCCCTAAAGACTATAATCTATTCCAGTTTATTACAATTGGCAGCTAGATTAGATTGAACAGTGGCTTGGTCCTCAATTAAAAGTCTTTTATATGGTTGAACAGTAAAAGTGACACTTTCAGTTGATTCAAAAGGAAGGGTTTTAGGTTTACGAAATGTCCTAGTGCCACCTGTAGACCTAATCAATGGGAAATGGGGATTACTACTGTGCTTGCCTTCACTTTCTGTAATCTCAAAACACGATAGGAAGCAATACAAAGATTGCTATTTGATAAGATTGCCTCCTCACTGATGAACACTGTGCTTGCCTTGGGGATGAGCCGTAAAGGGACTTTCACCATTCGTGACATGTGCACCACCGACAGCCCTTGGCTCATAGCTCGTGCTGCTACTAAAATAGCAAAAAAAAACGCGACGGCTATTGTAATGGAAATCTTGTATGCCAATATAAAGATAGCAGTACGGCCTGCTAGTTATGGTATTAACAATTAATAGATAATGAATCGTAATCTAATTATTTGAATAGCAAACAAGTAATAAGTATACATTAGACGACAGGAGACCCGTAAATATAACCAAAGATTAGAGACTCGAGGGCATAATTGCCAATCCAAAGATAATGTACACGGAGCTGTTCGAGGTTAAAAAGGATAACCTATACCAAGTCCAAGGGGAGTTTTCAGGTGCTATATGGTACCGACTGAACCTTTAAATAATGCATTTGATTGTTGCTGAGCTTGAAATCGCTGCGCATTAATTACCTTTGGGTGCTTCGGGCCATACGAGGTTATATATTCATGTTTTTAGTAGATTGCCTGACGGCCCACTCCCTCATTGTAGGTTTCGCGGCTTTGCCTTTTCGGCTAGCTCTACTTCCAGCAGCATGAAAAGCCAAGACTCAAGAGGCACTGGAAGCATCGAACCTGACTGGGCATGTGGTCAGTCCATGCTGGAGTTGGTAGGATAACGCCACTAAATCAAGGGTCCGGTACAAACCCTTGCATGAAGGCGACGGCAGACCAAACGCCCCGACGAGTTAACGGCTAGTTTCCAAGCGAGGTGGAGTCAATACCTACCTATCTTGGGGGGTATGTCCTTTTTTCAAGCGCAAAGTTGCGTCTCCAAGTAACGGGGGCGGGCAGATACGAATACTCTTATATGTACGGGGTACTACGAGCTGAACGCTATGCTATTAGAGTCTTTGTTGGGCGTGATACTCTGTGAGAAATGCGAGCTGTAGTCATAACTGGTTTAAAGAACAGGTTTTGCTGTCTACAAAGCTGCTAGCTAAGGCTAGCACATAGCTGAGTCGGTGATTGGGTACACTGCATTATAAAGACTCGAGTGGAACATATATCTGGAGAAACAGATATACTACGCCCGGCGGCCCGGGCACATTGCCCGACCTACCTCGTATTACAAGGAGAGTCCGGTTCGAATACATAGTGTGGAAAGTAACGCGGAGACTTAACTGTATTAGACCTTGATAATAGCGGCATGACGTAAATGAGATTTTCCAATTCGGGAAATGCGCAGCAAGTCTAGGATTTAGTCAGACGCACTAGTTGAAGTCATCTCAAGAAGCTCCTGTTACTGTGCCCTGTCTCTCCGCGGCCAACAGCCTTTGCTCTCTTTTCAAGTCGTCAATCTGGTACAATTTCCGTACAGCTTGACGCTCTTGAAAAAAAGACCTGTTTCCGCAATGATAGAGCCGCGTTGGTCTTGTGTGGCCCTTGTTTGGTCTGCCTTGCACATTGGGCCCACTGGCACGGAGCGTGCCGTATGACGATCTTATGACCGTTGGACAAGGGTACAGTACTGTTATCAGCCGTAGTTTTGTCTCGGACTTAGAATGTCCTAACAATACACTAGTTATAACTACTTTCTCGGCAAAGGGGTAAAGCATGGAGCTGTCCAGTTCTCCAACGCTAAAGCCGCGCCATCTGGCAATGGAATCCCGAAGAGGTTTGCGTCAAACACTCCAACTAGACAAGAGACAAACCATTTTCAAGGCGAAAGTGTAGAGATTTTTGACGTGGACGTCAACTCATATTCACGGCACCCGACCCCAAAGTGTGTGACGAACCTATGTATAAGCAGAATGAGGATAACCAAAACGGAACCAACCGCAGAGACACTCACATCAAACGAAATGCCAAGGCATCTTGCCCTGCTGAGATTGACTCCTCTGTTGAATTTATATCTGATTTTGAGTCTTATTTGAAGGTTCTCGATGTGAGTGCTTCTGCCACCATTCCGTAATATGGCCAGTCAGCATCTACGTCAAGCGGTTATCTTGATAAGTCAAGGTTCGCCTCAAATACCTTGACATACATGGCTGTAATCCGTATTAAAAATAGATCCATACTAGGGAGGAATTTACAGTCAACAAGAAACTTTATTCTAATTCATCATTTGGCCAAACCTTTGGAGACCGCTGGATCCGAGGTGAGTCGCACTTGGCTTTTTATTCGCAATGCCGCAACCCAAGCTTAAAGCTAATGGCGTTTTGGGGTTTCAGATGGGTGCCGAATTGGTTGCTCGAATATCACTTACAGCCAAAGAAAATTCCAGCCAAGCAGAGTTAAAAGCAACGTACGTCTTACAGTCCACAATGCAAAGGCCGCACATTCCTAATCATAATCCGCTCGTATAGCGCTGAGGCTTCATTGGCCTTCTGGGGTGTTTCAGGTCAAGCCACCACAGCAGTTACTTCGAGCATGGAAAAGTTGAATAAACGAGCCCAGGTCAAGGTTGACATCTTCTATTAAGGCGAGATTGGCAAACTATTACAGGGCCAGTCAGGATCAACAAGCGACGAGCAGCAGCCCGCTCAACAGGTGTTTGCAAACGCCAAATCATGGGCGGACCAGTTTCTAACCGAGGCTTGCAAACACAACTACAAGTATCAAGCACTTCTTGATGAATATCCAAATAATAAGGGCTTCCCCGAGAATCAAGTCATATTAGACTACTCCACGGCAGAAAAGGTATCTTACCGGGTTCTGTCAGAACTCGTCAAGATTTTAGAACTGGCGCAAATCCTGCGAAAAAGTAGGATACATAGTCCTCCCTGTTTAATCTTAGAATCAGCCATATGGTCATGGCTGAAATAACATCTGACATGCTCAACGTAGGCAAGGTCCTAAATCAGGCGGATGGGGACCAGATTTTATGGGACGAGCTCGCCATAGTCAAAGCTTGCAAGACATGGGTATTTCTCAAGTCAGCAAAAGGCCAAAGCAGTACACTCTACTAATATCAAGCCTCAGGTGCAAGTGACAGCCGCAACATCCAATAACGCTACCGAAACCGCAAAAGAGCTTATAAAGCTGTTCGAGACGGCTTTTCATGAAAAATGGAGACCACGTCTAGTGAGCACGTCTTTACGCTCAGCTACGAGTAGAGCGCTAACGACAGATGTTTAGAAGGAAATCAAGGGCGAACTTACGGTTCAGAACATGACAGAATTCGTCCAGGTCTGGGATGACAGGGGCAGCGATGCTTCCAGGAGAGCCAGCTTTTGGCTCCCCCGGGCACAAGGAGAACTCCGGCCCCTGGGCAGTGTTGGCGTTGCCAACTACGACGACATTAACAACGACTTTACCGCACAGCTCGTTGCGCCTACCCCTGGAAGAAGTCCCAGAGAGCCAGTCGTTAAAAGCCCCGTTGGTTTCAATGGGATCTGGAGAGACCTTTAGAGCGGTGCCAACATTGACGGGTCCTTCTGGCGACCTGCGGTACCCGACGGTTACAAGTGCATCGGCGATGTCGTCCAGAATAGTTGGTCCGAACCTAATAAGGATGTCACTTGATGTCTGCGAGCTGATCTCGTTAAGCCCTCTGCTTATGAATCGCCGAGCTTGTGGGATGACAAGGGGTCCGGGTCGGCTTACGACGTGCATGTATACAATGTACAACCCAGGTCTTCTAAACACCTCGGCGTTGTCCGAGCCTTTAGCAATCCTGATCTGGATAAGGGTATCGCCTCTCAGCTGATTGAGCCTCGGGTTCCAATTTGTAATCGTTTGGATATATTCTGGGCTGCCGTTACATAGGCCCCTAGGTGCTCAAGGCGATTTGCTGCATAATAATCAATATATGTATATGTAGCTCTCTCTGTACGTAGAAAGTAAAAGCATCTTGCCTAAGGTATCTCTGCTCTAATAATGCAAAATAAAGTGCAATATACTTGTGAAGACCCTTATTTATACAAAGCAGAGGTGAGGCCTTGGCCCTGGAAGCCTATGGCCTCCACTAGGTCTCGAGCCCTTGTGTAACTATCATCAGGTTCAAGGGACGGCCCGTGCCGCAATTACGTTATTTTCGTGTAACAATATTTTATGTATTTCTCTCATATAATATGGGGGCAGCTTTCATTCTTGGAGCTCCACACTTAAAAGTGTAAAATGCAAGTTTTGCAGCTTGATGGAAAGAGCATAAATCCACAGCTTGAAGTGTTTATGCGACTTACTATAGTGCTTATCGGGTTTACCTTTTGGCCACGGAGCAAAAAGATCTAGCAATAGCGGGCCATGGCCGGAAGATTCCCGATATCCAGTAGAGAGTCGCTATTGCTGGACCTTGTTGGCCTATGGCCCCGTAGTTCGCCCCGATAGCAGCGATAAGAAGCGTGAATGATAATACGAGAGACAACTACAACAGGCCTTTATGTAGACAAAATAGACTGGGTTCAGGCAAGAACTGTACATTCATACGCAGCATCTTGTGGCTCAGAGTACGCGATAGTTGTACAAGACTAGACATGAGGGGTTGTATTTTGACGGGAGAACTACTTCTTGAGCTGCTGGATAACTTACTTGTCTTACTGACAAAAAGAAAGAGAGGCCCTAAGAAATGTGTGGTTCTTGTGCACAATAAAATCCTTTGCAATAAGACGGCTTTTTATAAAGGGACGAACCTAAGACAGCCTGGCGGGAACAGGTTCTATATGCAGCCCAATCGACCATACCCGGGGCATAATACCATAGCATACAGTGAATGACAATGACTATAACTCTTGTCAGATAAAAAACCGTCATTAAGGTTGCATTTGTTACATTCAGAATCATATCCTAGGGTTGATTGCTTCCTGCCAGCGTCCAGTAGGTGCTCGTGGGTCGAAGCATGGGAACACTCGAGAGACTTTATTCTCCGTTTATCATAGCATCAAAAAAAAATTGGAATTTTTTTGACGCTGTTGTCACCTGCTCAAGCACGAGGTCAAAACTGGCATACAGACTTGGGGAACACGTGATCTGTAAATGTCAGGTGTCACAAGGTTGGGCATTAAAGCCGTGCCTTTCTTCACTGACCGGTACCTACTCGGGTACTTCATTATTTTGTTTTCTTTTCCACCACTAACACATATATGCCAAAGTATCTTCGTTTCGCGATGCTTTGCGTTGATTTTGCCCACCTCTAACCCATCCGAGAGTTCTGAGCAGTCACACTCTCCCCATTCGACTTCCCCCCCGGCCTCTGACGAGCTCCTCTGCGATTCCACAATCACCGGCACAATGTACGAGTGTGAGAGCTGTACACGTGTGTTCAACAGCTACCGTTCTTGCGAGCAACACATGGACGCACTAGACCACTGGGCACCGCAATACGAATGTGAGACATGTACCCGAGAATTCGGATCTTGGCACGCTGCCCAGCAGCATATGGATGCACTAGATCACTGGGCACCTAAATATTCCTGCGAGACTTGTGGCTCGCAGTTCGATTCTGAGAGAGCTGCCAATCAGCATATGCAAGCCAAGGGCCACTTCAAGAATTACTGCCTCCAGTGTGACAGGTATTTTGGCAACGCAAACAGTCTCAGCATGGTTAGTTCCCCCTCGTTGCACAGCACTACACATAGCTAAGCTAATGGGCACAAAGCACCTGAATTCCAACGTCCACCGAGGAAACAACATCGAATGCCCATTTTGTAGGACGGGATATACCGCTGCAAGCAGTCTCAGCCATCATCTGGAGTCTGGATCATGCCCCAAGGCACCCAGGGTTAACAGAGAGACAATACTGTCAATGGTTCGAAAACGCGACCCCCAGGGGACTATTACCAACAAGCAGATCGAGTGGCGAAACGACTCGAGCGTCAACGTCAACTACGAAGCAACCTGTCTTGCATGGAATGGTTCAGCTTGGGAGTGCTACATCTGTCACAACGAATTTAGTACTATCATTGGATTGAACATGCACCTGAATTCACCGCGGCATAAAGGCAAAATATATCATTGCCCCAACAAGAAGGGTGCATGTGAGAAGGAGTTTGTTTCCTTGGGTGGGCTGTTTAACCACCTGGAAAGCGAATCTTGCTCGTATATTCGATTCGAGAAAGTCCAAAAGCACATCAGCAATATGTTCAGTGGACAAAAATTTATCGCCTTTCCCGATTGAGGCATATCTTTCAAAGGCATCCAGAAAGTTGAAGGCGCGGACATTCACGGTACGGCAACATGGTAAGGCGTTTGATGTATTGTATATTACATTATATTTGCGGCCAAATTGCTACCATTGCTATAGCCTGAATACATCAAATTCCTCTGAGACGATGATGTCCCGCCAATCTATATTTCTTTCAGCCCCCGCCAACGCTATTCTCGTCGTCCATATTGACTCAATCATCTCCTGAAGCACCACAAGGTTCCGAAAACCAAGTTTGCGTTGACCCCTAAACCACAAACGCACTCTATTCTGCAGCAGCGCCCCTGTACACTCTGCGCCCAACACAACTACCGGCCACAACATCATGCAGCCCAATTCACCTCTGCCAACCTTCTCAATCGATTCGAGTTCTTGTATGCCTAGTTCAACGAGAGACTGGACCGTGTCAACCGCTTCACGCCGTATACTGCGCTGAAAGAACACCAGCCCCGCATAATAAAAAACTTTGGCTGTGTGATGAAGTACCGAGCCGTGGGTTTGGCAAGGAGCCAATATCTCCTGCGGAGGCAAAGTGGGAAAATTGAGGTACTGCTGAAGCTGGAAGGTATCTAACTCCTTCTCTAGTTCTGGACTGGGATCATTCACCACGTCCCCAAGGGAATTCATGCGATCGTATGCTCGCAAAAACGACCTCGACACTCCATAGTAAGGAAACGTAAATTCTAGGCCTTCGGACGCAGTTTCATCATCAAGGAACGCCTTCATGTCATTCGGGACAGGGACCTCGCATAAAATCGCCATCGAAACCACGTGTCTCTGGAAGGCGGCCACAACCGCCTCGTCCAGCCCTCGGGCGTGAAGTTTTGCCAGATATGCCAAACCGCCAGTGACATGCGCCCGCCACCGCGTAGTCATGCCCGAGATGGCATCTGCTGTGATGCACGCCATGATGGCCATGGCAAACGATTGGTCTTGGTGATTGTCTGCCTGTGCTAGGTTGCTGCGTAAATGGCAAATGGCTTGTTGTTCGTGGTTGAGGGCAAGCATACGATCTTGCTCATTGGTTCGGTCACTTAGTTCGTAGAGATTGCTGGCGGCAGAGGCACAGAGAGCATGGAAAATGACAACATTGGAGTTTGACTCTTTTGCATTGGACATGAGGCCTTTGAGAGCCATGGGAAGCATCATGATGCGACACGGGTTGTGCGGCTCGTCAATGAGGACGAGTTTGCGGCTGGTAAAGGTCACCCAGTGATGTATCAGCCTTTTCTGACTCGATGGCATTGATAGAGCGTCCAAGTGGCGGGAGTTCCCTGGGCTCGGGTGCTTTCGACGCCGTTCAGCGACGGTGTTGGTGGGAGTTGACGGCCGGTTGTAGTCGTTGTTTGAGAGGCTTAAGAGCGTTTGTGCGACTGGTACGGTATCTCTGGCACGGCGAGTCTCTGACGCAGAGGGGCTAATTGTGCTTGATAATGGGATCCCATTCCCTCCGTCGTCGATAGTTTGATCCGCAGTGTCCCGGTATGCCGAGTCAGACGGTGTCGGGGCCGCCAGGTCAGAGGTCCCCGACGGGACAGAATCGATGGCGAATACGGAGAAACCTCCTTGGTCGAGTCGTCTCTCCAGTCCAGGAAGCCATTCATCAATGTATGATAGTGCCACGTCGACTTCTGGGGTTGGAAGCCGTGGGATGGATGAAACGCCCAAGTGCGCCAAAGCTCGCCGCGGCGTCTTGTTCAGCGAGGCAGTGTCAACGTCATGGCCCGCCTCGTCAAAGATATTCGATGAATTCAGATGGACCCAGTTCAAGCGGACGCCGTATCCTTCGCATTGGACGCCAAATAGCCGACAACGTCGACATGATGGTGCTTCTCTTTGCCACGTCAGATTCTCCTGTATCCAAGACGCTGTGCGGCAAAGAACCTACTCGTCGCATTTTACACGGCGTGCACGACAGGTCCAGCACCCGGTGAAGCATTTGGTGCGAGGTCTGTCGGCCGATTTCATGATGATGTCCGCTTCTGGGCAGCAACATGGACTCCGGGTGAGCAAGATCAAGATGGTAAGGTTGGGGTGGCTCGTTGCCTCTCTCCTTTTCTGGGATGGGATTGACAGGAAAACAAGCGACGGCGCTAACCTCTTTAGAAAGTCCTCGCAACCTGACATCGCTCATCCTTGCTGATTTTACGAACAGAAGTTCTCGGCTGTCACATCCGAAAGGGGTAATAAAGGCCATGCCGATTGGCTCGCTGTAAATTTCTCGGCCCACTTTGACGAGGCAAAATGACAGCTCGCTTGGATTTGCATATTGTTCCTTTTTTTTCGTGCAACACTGTAATTTCTTTCATCGAGATGACAGGCTGAGTTGGGCCGTTTTGTTTCACAAGTATTTATACCCTATCATGGCATCACTTAAATTTCCGTAGTCCGTGGACCCTTCTATTTTTTTTTTTTCCTTTTCAACCTGACATCGCGACCATTACATCCCCATCCAGACGAAATGAGTCTCCGAGCCAGAGTCAACGGCCACTCCAAAGGCCAAACCATCGACACGCAAGAAAAGGAGACAACCACTTTCAATGATGGCCAATCTGAGGAATTTGAGTTTGGCGGCTCTCTTGGCGCCCTCGGACTAATGATTGGATTCCCCATCCTCATGTGGTACATGTGGATTGGTGCAACGTCCTACAACGGCAAGCTGCCTTTGCCCAAGGAAAACGAGACTTGGGCCGAATTCGCCCGCCATCTCGTCAACCTCGTCTATGAGGGCGCCTATCCTACCGCCAAAGCATGGGCCATCTACTGGGTATTCTTTGTCGTCGAAATGCTCATGTACTGCTACATGCCTGGTGTGTCCATGCAAGGTCGGCCCCTGCCTCACGAGAACTTCAAGCGTCTGCCGTACTTTTGCTCCGCGTATACCAGCTTCTACGCCACCATTGTCATTGTTGCCGCTCTTCATTTCACCAACGTCTTTCCTCTGTATACTGTTGTGGATGAGTTTGGTCCCATCATGACGGTAGCCATCCTGTCGGGGTTCATCAACAGCTTCATCGTGTACTTCCAGGCCATCCTTCGCAACAGCACGCACCGCCTGACAGGACATCCCATTTACGACTTCTTCATGGGCGCAGAGCTGAATCCTCGCATCGGCAATCTCGATTTCAAGATGTTCTATGAAGTTCGTATCCCATGGTTTATTCTGTTTCTGATTTCGTGCGGCACGGCCGCCAAGCAATACGACATGTATGGATATGTCTCTGCCGAAGTGCTGTTTCTAGTCATGGCACACTATCTCTATGCCAACGCATGCGCCAAGGGAGAAGAGCTCATCACTTCAAGCTGGTACGACGCCCGTCCGACGCATTCGCATTCTATCAACCCGCGTGCTAACGTGTTCTAGGGACATGTACTTTGAGAAGCTCGGCTTCATGCTCACGTTCTGGAACATGGCCGGCGTTCCATTTAGCTACTGCCACTGCGCAATCTACTTTGCCAATCACCACCCCTCAGAGTACCGCTGGAACCCATACGCTCTGGTCGCCCTCGTCGTTGTCTACCTCTTCATGTACTGGATGTGGGACACGTCCAACAGCCAGAAGAACGCGTTTCGTCAGATGGAGCGTCAGGGCAAGCTGACCAAGCGCAACACATTCCCTCAACTGCCTTGGCAGATTGTCAAAAACCCCCGAACTCTAGAAACACAGGCGGGCGAGCGCATCTTGGTCGACGGCTGGTTTGGTATAATTAGAAAGCCAAACTATGTGCCGGACATGTTCTTTTCATTTTCGTGGGGGTTGATCACCGGCTTCAAGTAGGTTCCGTCGCGTGCGAGAACATGATGATGCAGCGGCTGACTATTTTTGCGTAGGAGTCCATTCCCCTGGTTTTACTCGGTCTTCTTCATGATTATGATTATCCACCGTGCCATGAGAGATATTGAGCGGTGCCGACGTAAGTATGGTGATGCTTGGAAGCAGTATGAGAAAGAAGTGCCCTATCTTTTTATTCCGGTAAGTCTATTGCTGTCCCTTGTTATATAGTACTTGCTAACATTGCACAGTATGTCATCTGAGTTGCATGCGGGTGGCCACTTGGCCACACATCGCCAGCACACATGTTACACCCAGAGGACTTGTCCAAAAAAGAGGATGGCCAGTTGAGCGCAAGTAATGAAGAAACACCGCATAGAAAGATGAAAAGCAAATCAATTTGTTGTGGAAAGTACTTCCTATCGATCGCCGAGGTCCAAGTTGGAGTATCACCTGGAAGGATTTCATTCGCGACACTGTCTGCAAACTTTGAAAGATGTGTAGTAGTAGCGCGTTTAACTTTTAATAATTAAACTCTATTCCCTTGTGTTCCACTTGGCCAATTCAAACACAATGAGAATGAGGGAAAGAGCTCGCATTGGCGTCGGCAATGCAAGGCGGTGCGATGTAATGTGGTGCCGAACTAAATCTTTCTACAACCATTGTAGTTCTCAGCAGACGATATTCCCAGTGCATGCTCACTTCAACTCGCTCAGCATTGCCAATATTATATCGAAACAAAGACTCAATTGTAATCCAGGTACACAGAATGACTGTAACTTGCTAGTTCCCCAAACATGTTGTTGAAAGCTCGACTCGAAATTCAGCTCATCACATCCCAACAGCCGCAAGATGCCAGCTACGTTTGGGCGACACTCGCAGGAAGATAACACTGGGCCTCTCCAAGACTGGTACCCAGAACCTCGTTGAAAAACCCTTCAAGCTGCCAGGAGAGAGTTAGTTGTTGACGCCGCACGCCGCCTCAAGATGTATCGTTTCATACCAAGTTGCCCGGCTGCTTTTGCCCGCAGCAGGCCGGGATTTTCAAAGAGGCCGCGCAGGCCTGCAAAAAGCCGCTGAAGTTTGTTACGCTCTGGGCGTCTATGTAGGCCGTTAGTTTACCTCTTGTGGCTTCAGGGACGAGACCACGTACCAATACTGCAATCCTGGAGCCTGCCGCCGGCAAACTTGCAGCAGTTGTTCGTGTCGCTACCACATGGCTTGTAGAGGGGAAGAGTAAGAGTCTGCGGTAGGGCGGCAACGCCGACGGATGCGACGGTGAGGGCAACAAACTTCATTGGCGCAGAGTACGCGAGGCAGCCGAGACGAAACGAAGGGTTTGGTAAGAGGGAAGCTGACAGAGTTGAGGAACCGGAGCGACGAATCAGTGTTATATACTCTGACGGAGACGCGAGGCGCACAATGAGATCACGCTGCGTGGAACATGGTACCTTGTGTTCCATGGTGCGGCTGGGGCCATCGGGGCATCTTGTCACTGGTCTTTTGAGCCGACGGTTGAGACAATGGATTCCGTCTTGCTCATTCCATGAGGCGAGGCTGTCACGACGCACCGACTGACACATGCCCGAGGTCAAGCTGAGCCAATCGCTCTGCGGGAAGGCTCTCCAGATCGAATGAGACTCTCTCGGGCGGCACATCCCTTCGCGACAAGGATTCAATGGCACTCGCCTCATTTGATTCGTCTTTTGCAGACGCGTACCGCGAAAAAACGGCACAGATTCGCGTCGCTGGGTCTTCGAGAAGAAGCAAATCGAAGCTGGCTCATTCTACCCGTGGACTCGTCTCTTGCGTGATACAAGGATGATGATTACTTATCGTTGTGCAGATGTATCCGTACGACTGCCGAATAACTTCGGTGGCCGAGGGAACTCCGCCACCGTTGACGCGTTAAAGGGGAAGTTGGGGGTTCACAAGTTACTATGGTAATAACACGGGAAAAGCCCACACTCTTGCTTGCAATCAAGTCAAGTAGGAAAAGCTGAGTGTGCTAAGTTTGCTGGGCTGTACATGCGTATGGCATGTGAATTCCAGTAGGCGCGTCGAATGCCGCGTTTCGGCCCCCACGAGGCATTCGAATGCGCGGGCCAGCCTCATTCGACTTGTTCTGGTGTTTGACGTTAAAGTTCGACAGCACCTCCAACTTGCATGCCGATTAAGCCGAGACCAGACGGGGCTCGTGTCATTCCGTGGGCGGCTACATAGACTGCCCGCTCCTCGCCTCCCTTGCATCATCTGAGATTCGAAAGGGGGGTCAATCCAGGGCTTTAGGCAGCACAGAAACCTGGAGGGAATTCGAGGGCCTGAAAGACTAAAGGACAAAACTTGACATCTACTGCGGACTAATAATACTAGATTCACCATCGAGTTTGCTGTTTCAAGTCGGCTCCGGAAAGCTATAATTTGCCGCTAAAACTTCTCGAATTTAAACATGCAGATATCAAGCTAGATGCTGGAAGGAATGGAAACCCGGTCGAGTCTGGAAACTTTGAGAAAAGGCCCTTGACTGCAAGCCACGGCAGAAAGAGCGGGAGGGCATGTCAATGATGAATATGTGCTCTCGGGGGAAGACTCGGAGAGGACAGCGGAATCCACAAACGTCATTTCACCCGCTGCTCTAATGACACGGACATTTCGTTAATTCTACTTGTTTTTCGCAAATGTCCTCAAGCCCTCAGCATGTGACTAAGAGCGTGCTATATGCTACATTCGGCTCAGGGATTCACTTGGTCTGAATCACCAGACCTGTTTGCCAGTGAGGTCCCCCCAGGTGATGATCGTGTAATTTTTGTTAAAAATACATGTCATCTGTGTCCACACCGAGAAAAAACTCCTCCAATTCAAATGCACTCGGGAATACAAAGTCGTCAAGAGGGTTACCCAGCGGTATACCGTCGTCACCGATGAGGCTACTAGGCGAGTTGCGCGCGGTTTCCGACGGAGTCATGACCGAGGCAGCAAGCTGCCTGTTAAACATCCCTCCATTCTGCGCCGTCTCCGAGGCAGAGTTGACAGCGGCTTGACTGCCGGTCATAGTTCCAGTAGTATCATGGCATCTACTGCTGCACTCGTGGCCATGTTGCGCTGGATCCGACACAGGCTCCCTCCTTCCCTTGTTGAGTGTCAATTCGCCCTTCGAGTTGAATATGCGTAAAAGCCCCCTGGCAAAACTCCAGTTGCGCGCCAACACCGTCAAGGTAGCCGAGATGGATTTCAGCTTCTGTGCCGCCTTGACCACGACGAGGGGGTTGTTGGTGCTGAGCTCGTTGTTGGCCGCAACAATGGCTGTGAAGATGGCCTGGACGTCAAACAGCGACAGAGCGTAAAGTCGACGCGTCGAATAAAGGCCTTCTAGCAGCGAAACAAGACCCATGCTGGCCTCTGCACAAATGTCCAGGTTGCCAGCGGATTGTGATGGCTGGTCATGACTCTTACGCCTTGGCGGCGGCCGGTGCAGCAGGAGCACGAAATTATTGTATGTGAGGTGGAGGACGGCATGCCACGTTCCGGCATTTGCGAGCGACAATTGCAAGGGGGGAGGCAGCTCCGTCGTGAAATTCGCCAAGGCCTGGTCTGCCCATTCCGTCGCCCTCATCCTCTGCTCTCTCGACGCTCGAAGCGCCCAGCGCTGTCTGAATGTTCGGGATATGATGATGCAAAGGCGGGTTTGGTGAATGACAAAGTCTGCTTCCGGTTCGCTAATGCCCTGAAAATGGACATGGTCAAGGTCGGGAACATCACAATCGTCGAGATTTCTAGAGGGGACAGTTAAAACATGATGAACGGACGGGGTGGCAGGACGGCAACTTACATAGATTGTGGGCGCCCGTAGGACAGCGAAATAAGCGTGTCGAATTGGAACAAAACCCACCATACACGGACCCAGGAGCGCTTGTGTACGTCGAGCAACCTGGCTGTCGTCGTGTCACGATGCATTCCCAGCCCCGTGGCCGTACGGGCTGCCGTGCCCATCCAGTACCATGCATTGGCGACCACTTCTTCCAGCCCGTCCGAGTACCACGTCAAGAGCAAAGCGACTTGAACATAGACCAATCTGTCTTGCTCAAATCGACAGTCTATTAGCGTCTTGGTGCGTCTAAATAGAACCGACTGAAGCTGTTTCATTTGTTCGAAATCCTCCTGAAACGACAATACGTGTGCTCCTACCAACAGCACAGCGTTTAACAACGGCAAAGATAGGGGGTTCCTTGGGTCCTTCTCTTCGAGTTGGTCGACAAAGTTTTCTTCGTCAACGATTGGCCAACCACGGTTGATGTATACAAAGTATGCCCGTACCAGCTTATCTATGAGGGGCTTTGTTGGCCGCTCTAGAGCCTCGTGCGGTATGCGATCGATGTCGTGAGCGGTATACTTGAGGTGGTATTGACGATTGCTGAAGTGGAAGATGCGATCCTGGCTCGTCTGCGATGATGTTTGCCGCACCAGATAGTTGAAGTTGGATGGCTCGGATCCAATGAAGCACATTCGGCTTTGGTGGTTCATTTGTGCGGTTCGGATAGCCTCGCCACTGACGAGGTCTGCGAGATTTCCGGAATCTGGTTCAAGCCGCTCGTCTTGCGGCGGTGTACGCCGTTGATGAGCATCGTTGTTCGGACGCATGGAGCCAGGCACCTGCAGGCTGGCTCTTGATGAGCGCGTTCCAGGGTTCCCATTACCTTCAATGGCGGCGGTATTAGACGCGCGCGACCTGAGAGTTCGCAGAGGGCGTTCTGAATACAACCCTCTGGACTTTTGTTTACCTTTTTCATAGATTTGGCAACCCACCACTCTTTTGTTGCTGCAATTTGTGCAGGGGGTTCCGGTGCGGCCAACATCGCATCGCACCTTTCGCCGATGGCAACTTACACAAGCTCGTCCTTTTGAGAACCAAGGTTAGGGACCTCCAACGACATAATGATATGAAAATGCAGCTCCTGAAATTTCAATCGGCCACGTGAATACGTACTGTGCTGTGCCGGTCGCAAAGGGGTCTCCTGCCGCTTTGGCTCCCCGGTGTCGGCGCAAGTTGGAACCTGCTCCATCGACAGGGAAATGCCAAGAGAACACGGTTGCTTTTATCATTAATGAGTCGCGCAGGGGCAAGTTGGAACTTGGCAGGATTCAGGAATATGAAGTAGACCGATGCAGGAAGCAGTGTCGGCAGTTGTGACGAACCAGACAAGATTTTCAATACCCGCCCCTTGCAGGTCGGCAGAACCAACCAATCAGCATCACGTCACATCATCCAACTCCATCGAGGTCGGCAATTCTAACCAATGACAGTTCTCCGTTTGCATGTCCGAATGGGATAACAGAAGAACGGTGTAAGTGACAATCCCCGAGGGTCGGATACGGCAAGTTTCCGCGATGACTATAAGAATAACGATTCTAGAAGCCGCCAAGTCTCTAGGCGGACTTTTATGATACCAATTTCATCTGTGTTATAGTCAAAGCTTCTAAGATCCGTAGCGATGCGACAGCCAGGCACATCTCATCACCACGCCAAAGAGCTTGCCGCGAATGATGTTGCTGAGCACCTCACTTCACCCACCATTCCTACCTCTGCCGTAGATGACGTCCGCAAACCTGCAGAGTTCTCATGGGTCAGTACGAAGTCACAAACATCATTGTCCACGAGCTAACATGAAACAGCCTCGCAAGATGCACATCGTCCTCGCTGGAATCACATGCACCTTCAACACCAACTTGGGATCCTCAATGCCATCAGGTGCCCTTGTGGTCATATCCAAGCAATTCTCCATCACAAACAGCCTCCATTTTGTGCTATTAAACTCCATTTACATGTCCGGGTATGTACTCGGGCCGCTGCTCTTCGGGCCAATGAGCGAATATCTCGGTCGTCGGCCCGTCCTTATTAGCACGTTTGTCGGATATCTAATCTTCATGGCTGCCTGCTCGGTAGCTCCATCGTTTACAGCGCTGGTAATTTTTCGACTTCTATGTGGCATCTGTGCCTCCGCCCCGCACAGCGTCATTGGCGGTCTCTACTCGGATATTTTCGACAACCCTTCTCATCGGGGCACTGCAATGTCTCTTTACATGTCGGCGACGAATGTAGGACCACTGATGGGGCCTCTCATATCCGGATTTTCCTCTCAGATCTCGTGGCGCTGGCCGTTTTTGTTGGCAGTTTTTATTGCACTGCCCGGGCTGCCTCTTGTGCTTTTGATGCCCGAGACATTCGCGCCGGTTCTCTGCAGAAGAGCAATTCGAAAGTACAAGCGAGAAGGAGGAGTGGCAAACACTGCTGACGTCACATTCAATGACCGTGTTCTGGATCCTCGCAAGGTTTTCGTCCGTCCCGCAAAGCTCATCACCACGGAGCCGATTCTTCTCTTTACAGCTTTGTACATTGCTCTTGCATATGCCATCATGTATCTCACATTTCAAGCGTATCCCATTATCTACCAAGGTTAGTTACATAATTGCGATTGATGTATTTGGCTTTAATACAGTGGGAATGTTCCGGCATTGGATAGTACTAATTAGACTTAGATCACTATAGCCTTTCTCCCGGTGTGGCTGGGCTAGCGTATCTGCCGAGTACGTGATGTAGATATAGAATTTTTGCCAAAAGAAATAGGAGGAAAATGTGCTAACCCATCTACATAGTCTTGGTTGGCGTCTTTGTCGCATTCTTTCTTGGTTTGGCCTATACTTGGTGGCACGATAAGGCTTGTGCTGCTGGGAAACAGTGGACTCGACGAGAGGTATATCGGCGGCTTCCCATAGCGTGTTTTGCGGCACCATGGTACGTGTCTATTACCCACAAGCTTGATCCAGTCTTATGGAACTAATTTAATGACCAAGGCTTGTTATTTCCTCGTTTTGGGTAGGGTGGACTGCCTGGCCCGGGTCAATAGCCCCAATTATCCCCATGATCGGCGGCCTCTTCTTTGGTCTAGGTTCTCAATTGCTCTACATCGCCATGATCAACTACATTACAGACATTTACCGTGACAGATCAGCCTCGGCACATGCGGCTGCTAGCGTGACTAGGTCAATTGGAGCTGTGCTTCTCCCCTTGGCTGCTAGGCCAATGTACAGAGACCTAGGAATTCATTGGGCCCCATCGTTGTTGGGATTCTTGTCTTTATTGATGGGGATTATTCCATTTGCTCTTATCCGCTACGGTGATGCGTTAGTTCAAAAAAGCAGGGCCAAGTAATAACAGACATGAATAAGACATGAGTCACAATAGATGTAGTTTCTTTTATTAGAAGAAGTTATTAGCTGCTACTAGAGGATTTCTAGATGTAGTAAATATCAAAATCGCCTGGGAGGCCAAGCTTGGCCAGTGTTGTTGTTTGTGACGTTAGATAGCACGCTTACCTTCAAGGTGTGTCCCGCAGTGGTAGCAGATGAAGTTATCAGCCAATTTAAAGCTCGTCTCAGCTCCACTGTGAGTATATGAGCATTCTTATTAACATAATTGGATGAAAAATGACATTCTCCATTGGGACTTTTAGGCCTGAAGGATTGACTCGCAACAGGTCCCAGATTGGCGCTGTCGAAAAGGCAAGTTAAAGAGGCAATGCAGCTACGAAGCAAAAGGTGGAGTAATCAATTCTGATAGTTATTATAATGGTTAGTATATTCGCTCTTTATCATAGCCATGATATCAGCGGAATATAAGGGGGTATAATTGCTATTCAATTAAAGCGCGTTCTTTTTCGTGATACATGAGCTATCTAAGATACCGAAAAAATTGGAAAAAACGAGAAAAATCAAAATGAACTAGAACTATATACATGATACTAAACCTTTCCCTACTGTAGGGCCGCAATATCCTCGAAGAAGTGATTTGGAGGGTCTAAGACTATTGGTTCTCCAACAGGCAGGCTACGGGTGACAAGCTTTCCATATGCCATGGCTCCATATAAACGGGTACATGATGCCGCGTAGCAAACAGTAAAATAGCCCGCTGCCGGCGGAAATAGTATACAAGAGCCAATTATCTCAACAATAGATGCAACTGCCGAGCACATACCGGTCTGGGAATTGCTGACACGATCTTTGTTGCTCGTTTATAACAGCTCCATCAGTGTTCAGGATACAGACGTCATGTAAAGTGACCTCTCCAAGTTAACGGACAAAATTCAGATGGACGTAGACCTCTTCATCTTTATGACATTTAATTGCAAGCCGTCCAATAGACTCGTGGATAGACATGCAGTCGATTATAGATAGTGTTCCTTTCGCCGGGACGAGGAGATGGAAGACAATCGCATCCGCTTCTTCTCTGGGCATCGTGCTCGGAGAGTTTCGCGATTGGCCCACATGAGACTGAATAGGACCTGTAAGTCGGAACTATAACCGCCAAAAGACGAAGGCAGAGGTTGCTTGCTTATTTTTTCTTTGAATTCCACATCAGCCATGATCGATGGGTTGTATAAATGGAAGGCATGGCGGCCGACAGATTCCGCCCCTCCGTCATCGTTGATCTCCGTTTTCAGAAATTGGTAGATGAAAGCCCCATAACCTTCGTTTTTTCCAGCCAGCTATCATGGCGTTCGAAATTGTGCTAAGCTCATCCCGTATGCCTTGAATATGTGTGCCCATGTTTCGCAGCTCACTACTGTCTTGGCCAATAGAATAGGCCCTATGATGGCACTCGCAGCAAAGACTGATGTAAACGCATTGTTCGCGTTAAAGTCGCTGGCGGGGATATGGACTTGTCTGGGATAGATAGTCGCACTATTGTTCAGCGCGTTGTCTGCATTGCGGAGTTGATTCGCTACTGATTCGGTTCGTGCGACTCGATTTCGTGTGAAGTTGATCGAGAATTCCGGCTATTGTAGCTGAATTAGCAATGGTTGTAACCACTCCCCATGGCGGCCATAGCTCTCGTACCGCGCAAAAGATGGATATATTATATGAAAGGGATATTACCGGTTTTTAAGAAGGGACGAGGTGGCATGGGCGGGGTGAAGTGCTCATACATGTGTAGTGTCCAGACCACAACTCAGCCTGGCCACTCTCACGTTAGCTGGTCTTTCTGAACTTGCATGAGTGGTGGGACATGACTACTTCAAGAACATTAATGAATCCATGGCAAAGTAAGATTCCTCACACCCCGTTTCTCTATAACAATGGGGTGTTCTCCCGCCGCAAAGACCGCTTACGTATATCTCGAGTTTGGTGGATAACAAACGCGGTAAATACAACTGCCAACGCCGTCCCTGCAGCTGCCATGGCAATATTCATAGGAACAGGATCTCCATTGAACATGTTATTTGTAAAGGTGTCAATCAAGGGCTGGGTGAAGTTGATAACCCCAGAGAGACATATGATTGTGCCGTAGATGCGGCCAAAGGTAGCGTATCCAAAGACGTTGGCGGCAATGTGTCTAAAGGCACATACATTAGCCCTCTTGGGTGACTATTCATCAGAGATTACAAGACCTACGATATAACAGAATAGTAAAACGGTCGAAATGTCACGAAAAGCAAGACTGTCGCGATTGCAGCCCACGGTTCTGAAATGCAATTCAGTACCCCTATGCTGGCAACATAGACAGTCAACAGGACCAGAAGGCCTGCAACGCTCAGCGTATTCAGAATCACTGCAATTGCAGGAGTGGCAGCAATGCCACCAATCGGCAGGGCCGCGTTGAAAAGGGCTGTTATCCGGTCCGCGTCTTGCGGACCCAACATGTACGTGTATTGGCTTGTCACCGTGGCAATAAAGTAGTTCATCCGCAACATCTGAAAAGCCGTGATGAGAAGCAAAAGAATGAACCAAGGAGTCCGCATTTGATCTTTGACAGATAAACCGTGCAGTATACCCCATGCCTCATCATGGATCTGCAGCGACGTTCTTCGCTCGATTCGGTCATGGCGCTCTTCTGCATCACCCGTCACTTTCTCAATCTGCCCAATCTTGGCTCTGCGTTTATCAGCGCGCTGGCTTCGTATTCTGGAAAGAGTCAAACCATCAGGCACCTCGTCATCGGAAACGTGTACATCTCGAGTGCAGTCGTTTGCGTGCTCCAGTTTCTTTTCCAGTTCTGGCATGGTGTGATATCGCTGTTTGGGCATGATGGTCCATTCAGCGAGCAGGATGGCCGCGGGTACTGAGAGATACACAGTGAAGAACTTTTCTGGTGTGAATGTCGCGTTTGTGGCCTTCCAGATGGCTTGGTAGACGAGGAATACTGCAGATGAGGCGTCAAAAGAACATGTGACCAGCGCAACAATTACACCGGAATGCTTTGGAAACGCGTTGGACAACTGGAAAGTGGGGAGGAAGAGGAACGTTCCGCCGAGACTTAGGAAAAAATTTGAGAAGATGAAGGGGTCGATAAAGCGAATGTAGCGGTGGGATATAAAGAACAGGGCGCCGAGGGCGAGAAACGTTGCGGCAAAGGTGGTGCATATTCGCCGACCGTAGGTGTCTAGGACGTAGCCAGCAAAGAGGCTCGACACGTTGGTCGTTATGGAAGCTGTTATGAAGAGAAGATTGATTCGCAGGTCTTGCTCGGGACATGTATGGTGTCTCTGGGGACTGGATTTGTTTGATTTGGTGCAGAGCTCGTGGTATACCCCCCGGGCGATAAGTACGGGTTTGAGGGCTGCGAAGCCAAACACTATTCCGGATGCAAGGAAACAAAACGTCACTCCCAGACCGACTTGTGCTGTATGATAGTTGGTATATTGCTAGCGAAACAAAGTCCAGAGGTCATTGCGTACCGACTCTTCGCAACGTTGACGTTTTATAAGCCGCAGATCGAGGCGGTTTCGCTTCTACTGGTGGCTCCGCCGGCGCAAATGCGTCAAAGCTCATTCGTCGCCAACATCGTGGATTTACGAGAGCCTCGTCGGATTGCTGGCAGTCTGGGGCGTCGAATCCATCTTCGGGTGCGAGATGCTGTGCGAGAGACATAGCTGCGATGGTGTGCAATATGTGGATGTGAGGGACAGCAGGGTATTAGCAGGGAAGATGTAGTTATTGCTTGTTAATTTGAGATTCTACCTACCGATGAATGAATACTTTTACACGAATCCACTGAACATAATAACGTCGTTAATGCCCTTACGTCACTGTTACGTCAGGCGGGGAGGGCAAGATGCCTGTTATTATGTTATTATATATGGGTCCCCGGTGGTCGATACAAGATCACCCGGGTGTTGGAACCCTAGAGTAATAATGGTACTTGAACAAGAAAATTACGGTCGTTATTTTAGAATCGTTTGTACCTGTACGGTAGTTGTGCCCTAGAGGCTCAAGCGTCTGCGGGAAAAACTAGACCGCCAACGATACAGAATGCCTCTTTTTCTTTGCCTCGGGAGCTTCAAGAACTTCTTCTAGTCACGAGAGGTATCAAGAGTTAAATAGGTATGGAAAGCAGTGTGGAACGCCTTACCTAGTGCTCGCCACTCATACGTTGTTGTCGAAGTCGGATGTACGGCTGGCATGACATAGTAGGAAATATAACCAAACACTATAAAATATAGCTATTCTTATATGTGAGTAAGACACTATTTTACGAGCTATTCTAACTAGATTTACTGCTTCTAATTTCCGCCGCCGCACGTATCAAAACCCAGCCCCCACAGGGGCTCCATCAGTAACCCCCAAGATTAAACCTGTGCATCTTTTTTAATATATATTGAAAATGCCGTATTACTGGTGAGGGACCTATGATTGCCATCGAATTCCTAGTACTTCCGGAACAACATCGTAAAGACTGTTGCTTTCATCTTAATCGTACTGGATCGTGATTACCGTGGTAAATCCTCTCAAGGCCGGAGAGCGCGATGTATCATCTTGAACTCAAAGGATAGCCGCAAAACAGAAGAAATCCCAACTCTTTCAGTTGATGCCAAGTCGGGCGAGGTGCTACCACCGAATGCTATTGCCGCAGTCCGTCATTAGGTAGTCACCTCTGAACTAGAATAAGTCGCAGAAACTTATGGTACTATTCGTCAACAATTTGGCACAAGCTACTAGAACTTGATGCTCACTTTGTGTCAAGCTCGCTTCGATAGCGGCCCTCTGCTCTTTTCCTAGGTAGTTATGTGTCCACAACTTCACTTCCAGACTACGGAGGCCGGCCATAGCGAACTCAGGAGGCTGCTGTTAAAACAGGCGGCAGCCCTCGGCCAAAGACGTCGTCAAACCGCGTAAAGTCATTTCCTCCAGTCGACCCTCACATTCTTCGTAGCCTAACTTCTTCACAAACACGGTATTCTATTACGGTCTGATTCCCGGAGCGTTGGGATCAAGAGTAAGAATATGGCCTGATTTCGTTCGTTAGCGCAAGACTTGGACACACACACCCACGACTTGGAACCAAGCATCGTACAAGCACGAATCTCCACTACAGAGCGGCTTGACTATTTGCTGAGCCCAGTTTCAGATACGCTATTGGACACGAGGCTTCCGTCATGAAGCCGACACCAAAATTCTGCTATTGGGGTGAAGTGTAGCTAGATCAACCCATCTGTTAGTACAGTTCTTACCTTCCGGCATCCCGTACAAATATCACCCTAGGTTAAGCTCCTTCCAGTCGTGACACTGCAGCTTGCGGCAAATCTTGAAATTTGGCCAATTTATATTATTAACTTTATATATAATAAAAGCTATAGCTTAGGCCAGCTGAATGATAAAAAATTATTAAAGCACAAACATCCCTAGCGTAGCTTTTCCCATAATCCAACACATTTTCCTGTCCTTCTCAATACGGTACTTGGTTGCGGCATGTAGACTGCCTCCTGTAGCTGGGATAGCAGTAATTGTAATGGAAACCCCGACCCCACGGCGACATGGAGGTAATGAGCACGTTCTTGCCGTTCTAATGGGCTGTTGTCAGGGAGTGAGGCGCGACGCCAGCAATACACAAAGTGGCCTGATTCCCCATACCCCATTGCCTCTTGAAGAACTTTAGACAATACTAATTGGACAGTTGATTTCCCGCGTTGTGGCAGGGAGAACTTGTAACGAGCCACATACGTCAGGTTTACATCATGGATCCTCTGGTGCGGTATCATTATCCTACCACAACTGGTAGGTATGGAGGGTGGCTTGGTGGTCAGTAAACGTCACTAAAATGCGAATCAAATTTTGCATCTGCCCATTGTTTCCACGACCAATGCGTCTCCGCACACGAAGCCATATCGTGGTCAGAAGCAGAGCTCCGCAGCGGCCCGTGATTTGTCAATGTGTGCCAGCCAGACATGTCGAGTCAGGGGAGTGTGCCTTCCACGGCATAAGAAGGTTAGGCAGCCCCTTGAGACTTCTATTGGTCAACCTATGACGCATGATTTACATACAGGACAGGTGTCGTGGCTAAAGAACCACTGACCAAAGCAACTGGAGTGGAATATGTGCTCGCACTGCAGTTGCCGGATTTCATCCTCGTCCAACATGGGCTCCAAGCAAATTGCACTGGGTGGTGTCAGAAGATAAACAGAGCCATGCAGCATTGGAATCATGTGCGCACCAAGTATCAAAGCCGGATCCGATCTTGGCTACTTCACTCGTTTCGATCCTCCACTTCTTGTAAGTTTGTGTAGGGGCAACTCGGTCCAGCGACGGCTCAATGTTGCTGTCGATGGTCCGGTCGGATCCATTGTCGCTGGAAGTAGTCTCATACCCTGCAGTCACAACATCTGGATTGAGATGTCGGCATCTTGAGGCATTTTAGCATATACCCCCGCACAGCTGGATGAGACTGGGGTACTAACATTACATGAAATAGTAGTGCCAGGGCAAATACAATAAGTAGGATGAGACCCAGTGGCAAGTCCGTGGTCGGTGCGGGATGGTTCTGAGTCCTGTTCAATAGACTTGTAGGAGTAGCGACTACCATGTTGAAGAGAATGACTCCATGATATTGGTCGGGGGCGATGAGATTATGGGTGAGAGAAGTATAAGAAAAATTACAGGTATATAGTCAATGGATCTTTATAGAAGTAGCCAAATTGCCCCTGAGCCCAGAATCGCCCTTTTTTTTTTACAAAGCAAGGTCCATTGGTCAAAGGCCATGAAGGGTCATGAAGGCCACGCTCTACTTGCGCATAGAATACACGAAAGCGGGCGCGCCACAATGTTGAGGTCCACAAAAATGCTGGCTATGAACAGGTAAAATTGCGAAGTTCGCAATACGTCGCACCAAATTTCAGGTTTCTTCCCCATGGCGAGTGGCGAGTGTTGGCCAGTGGGATTGCTGAGACGCATAAGCGATGGCTGCCTCGAATTGTCTCAGGAGTCCAATAGCTAGCAACTACATCTTCTGATGTCAGTTTGCCCTTTGTTGCAGTGCCAGATTAAAATAATGTAAATCTCCCTATTCCGGTCTCATGTTGGACAAGGTCACAAGTGCCGAAAATTGCAGCCGTAGGTTGCAATTTGGCAATTCACACGATTGCGGAGATGGTTTCTGTATGTAATCTTCTTTTATAAGCATGCATACGATTAATACTGAAGTGCGTTGTTATTACAAACCACACGAGCACTTTACATCATAGAGACCATCTGGACACTTCACTCAAGTGTCCCACAGCTCGACTACTTGAGGCAGCCAATACAAAAAAAAGATGCTTTAATCTCCTATATAAAGAGTGGAATAATAGGAAAACTGAATACGTGTTGTAATACTGCTACTTGCTAGACGGTAGTAGAATAATAGTTCTTTCCTTTAATAAGCGATTTGGCCTTGACACCAGGGTAGGTCTATTGGCAGGTCAGATAAGTCCTACGCTTATTTCTTTCCGACCAAGTAGAACGCCTTTTAAGCTGAATCAATACTACTTCGCCAGGATGCCTACTATCAGTGATGTTCGGACCACTTAATGCAGGCACGCAGATTTCCAAGAGGGCGTTCCTCTTTTCCAATTGAGCAATCCTATCGCGAGTTTTGACAATTGTAATTGGGAAACAGCCCTCTAGGGTTCCACTTCCGACGGAGATCTCGAGGAACTTGGCGAGGGCAGTGTCGCCAAGGACCCTGGCCTACAAGCATAAACGGTTAGCCTTGTTGTAGATTTCCGTCTGAAGGTTCACTTTGCCAGAGTATACATTTGCTTCTTCATTCAATTCTGCATATACTGGCCTAAAGCAACCGGGAAAGCCCGCTTTTACAGTTTGACCATCGGTTTGTATATGGCCGGCTGCAGAGCGGCGTTGCTCCAGCCGGTTATGGTAGAGATGTAGAGTTCTTGCGGCAAACTCAAGGCGGAATCTTCGTCGGAGTAATGTCGCAATGTCAAATAAGACGGAAGTAGTCCGCGTAGGCAGCTCAAGCATACAAAGCCTTATAGCCGTGGGAAGCTGCGCCGCGTGTCGTTAGCGTCAAGGCACCGAAAATATATAAGGTGAACTATGCTTACTTGATCAAGCGGTCCCTTGAGATGGTTCAAGAGACTGTTTATCTGCTATCTCTCTTGCTTGCCGTTGCCGAGAAACCCTCGCTTACGGTCGAATATGAACTCAAAAGTTCTTTCTTGTACATGTTCAAGGTGAATTAGGGCGTCACGCACCTCGGGAGTACACTTCTCATGCGCGCCAAGCAATGTTTGCGCTTCACAGAGTGTGTCGCAGTAGCAGAGCAAGTTTAGAGTCAGAGGCAGTTTGCCATGCTGGGGGGCTTCTTCCGTGGTGTAGGACGGTTCGTACTTCTCGGAATAGTCGATAGTGACTCTGAGATTCAAGTCAGTGCCATACTTGGGAGTGTCACGGCCACGCTCAATGGCCCATGTGAAACTGACATGGAGTTGGTGGCGTTGATCTCGAACTTGAGAATCGCCTCTCACATACTCGAACGCTTAATGGTACGGGCTCCGAACCGGGTCACTACGGCGAAGAAGACCAGTCCACCCCGGCGGGCGGCCCAGAACAGGTCCTGTTTCTCGGTTCGGCTGGCTACGGCCGTGCGGCCGTCTGGAACAACCATCTCGATCTTGGTAATCTACCCTTGGCTAGTTGCGCCCCAGCCTTGCCCACCAACGAGAGGAATCAGGCTGAGCCAACCATTGGGGAGTTTCCATGGGGGAAGAAGCGATTGACTTCCTTGAGCTTGGCCGCGAGCTCTTCGACACGGCATGACGGGCCGAAGTAAATCTCTTGACTCAGGGATCTTAGTCCGCCGGTTGAAGTCCAGCGTGTCGATCAGAATACCGTCATGAATAGCGCCGGGGAAGTTCATGATATGGCCCGAAGACCGGACGCCGACGGTCGTCTTGAGCTGTGTGGCGCGGTTTAGCGCTTGCGACACGTCTGACGGTGATTCAGGAGGGTGAGTTTCACGAGGAAAGTGCTCAGGGGTGTCACCACCAGGGTCATGCGGCGGCATGGCTCGTAAGCCTCCGCCCCCCGGACAAGGACCTTGCTAGAATATTTAGGTGTTGTGGTATAATATCTGGCATCTTGCATGGGTCTCATGTTGAGAAGGAAATTCAAAGAGCCTTGACTGCGAAGGGACTTCTACAAACGTAAAAGAAGCGTAGGGCTATGGACATAATGAGGCTATCGGTATTCACGGTGATGTCTACATATGTAAGCTTAAAGCGACATGAGGTGAAGTGTGCTACATGGAGCACAAGTAGTATACACCGTCTCGCTGCGACCTCTGTCTGTCCGCAGGCGCCTAGCCGCAGAACGGTGGCTTTTCAAGTTGGGGTTCGTAGAAAAACTTCCTGTGGATTGGTGCGGCCTCTGGAACTGTCCGGTGATTCGTGGTTCGGTTAGAGAAAAGTTCCGAGGGCTTTGGGGGGCTCTGGAGCAAACACGAGGTTGAAACAATATCGCAACCGTGCCGTGGCCGGTGTCGTTCGGAACTTCCGCTAGAATGAACCCACATCACAGCTCGCGCCTCTTCAATGTTCCAATTTCCATTCAATGTTGTCTTACGCGCTGGGCCCTGTTCCATGTTCTATATCATCGCTCGGGCAATAGCGTGAACTTTGTCGAGGATGTCCTGTTGGATAAGCCTGCCTCTATTGAACGAGCAAGCAGACTGGACGTAGTTGCTAGATGTCAAAAACTTTTACACTTGAAAGTTTACGACCCTGTCCCTATTGTAGCTGAGTAACCGTTTCCACGACGGATATAATATATGCCCTTGTAGAGAGTGAGATAAAGACAATAAATACTCAATATTAAAAACGAGTATATTCGTTAGTGTATGAAAGCGAAGCTGAGACAACACTAAATGAGTCGACCGTGAGTTACGTTTCTCAGTGTACTCAGTTACTCAGAGGCGTTTTTAGTAACCTCCTACGGTCAAAAGTACTCGGCGTCTTTTGCTTTTTTTGAGGTTCTCTACGAGGTTAGTACAATCGCCATTCCTGATGAGATTGCTGCCAATTCGGGCGCTCAAGGCCGGCCTTTCCCATGTATCCGTCAATCTCGGCTCGGACCATCTAGCCATCATGGAAGCACTAGCATATGTTGAGCATTTGGAGGCATTTCTCCAAGATGATAACGTGCCCCACGAGGTATGAGAAATTACCATTGACAACGTCCTTATTGAGAGATTCGAACTGGTCGATGAGATGGTCACCATGAGCATGACAGATGGTTTTGCTCGCCTTACTGGAAAGACCCAGTGTGCGAGGGTCCATGTCGATTTTGGCACGCATATGCTCGGGTGTGCCATGCATAATGCGTTAGCGGCACGGTGCCCTGCTATTGTCTTTGCTGGTCTATGCCAATAGTCTGGAAGGAGATTTGCCTGGTTCTCGGGCAGAGTTTATCCACTGGCTCCGGGATGCGCCGGATCAGGAGCAGATGGTGTCGCAGTGCTGTCGGTATTGTACGGAATTCAAGACTGAAAATAATATAAACCAGGTGCTCAACAGAGCTCCTCAGTTCCCGACCAGTGATCCAAAAGACCCCGTCTATTCTCACTGGAGCGCGAGAGGTTATGGATGAGAGTTAATGCCTGCTCCTTGGACCAGAGCGTTTGGGAAGCCGTCCGCCCTTCAGCAGTGCCGCTAAAAGCAGCGAAAGCCATGGTTTCCCTGATAGCAAATGCCGACCGGTCTTTGATTATTGTGGGCTATTCTGGTCGCAACCATGCGACTATATCACAATTGGTGACATTGGCTGAAAACATCTCGGAAGTGCGAGTTCTCGATGCTTTAGAAAGCGACTTTTGCTTCCATATTAGCCATCGAGCTTCCCTAGGTTTGCGCAGGATTGCCAGTGCGTCAATCGGTGAATATGGAGCTGCTATAACCAAATTATTATGTCTGCCATTGCACTCCGGCAGATATGAGATATGGCTTGCAATAGACACAAAGGCACAATGGCGAAAAACGGAGTGGTCAAGCATACGGACCGCCGGAGATGGTTCGTGGTAAACGATTCTTGCCGGAAACGCACAATTGGTTAGAACCATGGCAATGCCAACGCATTTAGAGTAATCCTAGCTTCGGAATATCCCCCAGACCTCCACCCTGTCACAATAGACTTCCCGTGTCCGAACCTGGCACTACCACCGGCACGGAAACCAGCCTGACAGCGCCTTGGCATGCTTTCGTGCTTACGGAACCGACGAAAAATCCCTTGGCTCCAACGGCCAACTACCGCTACCAAATTGCGTCATGTCTGGTCGAGAGGTTGCTATGAGACTCAATGGGGCGGAGTTCCGAGGACACGTCTTCATCTACGGAGTATAATGGGCAGTTATTAATTCAGGGATATGGGCGACAGAGTAACCACAGGAGCTGTGACGAACTGTTTGTGGCCCAGGTAAAAACTAGAAAACGGTTGAAGCGCGATTTCTCAAACAGTCTGGAGTAAATACGAATAACTTTTGCGTAGAATCCGCAGCTAGCAAAAATAATCGTCAGATTACGTGCGATAGAAACAGCCTTTGTTTGCTGACCACCATGAACCGACCTAATATAACTAGAGGAACACAAGCTTTAATTCGTCCCTTCTCTCGTGGCATATCAACGAACCGGCCAATACCCCTTATTATAAATGGCAAAGACATCGTTACCGAAACCACCTTTGAAGCCATCAGTCCACTTACATGTAAAAAAGCCTCAGACTGCTCATCCGCGTCTCAGGAGCATGTCGAAAGTGCCGTTGCAGCAGCGCAGGCGGCATTCCCGGCGTGGGCGACTACGAAGCCATCATACCGGCGGGACATATTTCTTGCGGCCGCAGACATCATGGCCAAGCGAAGGAAAGAGCTTGGGGAGTACTTGAACCAGGAAATCGGAGCGAACCAAGGCTACCAGGACTTCATCATTGGTCTGTCCATCGAGGGCCTCAAAGATACTGCAGGAAGGATTGCTGGCGCCTGCCAGGGCTGGGTTCCCGAGTCGGTTCATGAGGGAATGAAGGCAATGGTTCTGAAACGCCCGTATGGCGTCAACTTGGGCATCGCTCCATGGTAAGCCCAGGCTATGAAAGACATGGGGAAAGAATTGATGACGTGTTTTTAACTGTCCGCCACCGTTCAGGAACGCCCCCTATCACCTGGGCTTTCGATCCGTCACTTTCCCCCTGGCCACCGGAAACACGGCCATCTTGAAGGGAGCAGAGTTCTCGCCCCGCTGCTACTGGGCCATAGCAGACATTTTCCGAGAAGCCAGCCTCCCTGATGGAGTGCTGAATCTACTATTTCATCGGCCGGATCATGCGGCAGCAGTCACGGAGTCCCTTATCGCCCATCCTCATGTCAAGAAAATTAATTTTACCGGCAGCACAAAGGTCGGCAGCATCTTGGCAGCATCTGCAGGGAGGCACCTCAAGCCCTGCTTGATGGAGCTTGGCGGCAAGGCCAATGCCATTGTGCTCAAGGACGCTGACCTTGAGAAGGCAGCGGTCCAATGCGCCACGGGGGCTTTTATGAATGTGAGATTGGACCTACGAAGCTCACTTGAGTTGGTTTATGCTAATGGATGTTAAGGCCGGCCAAATCTGCATGTCAACCGAGCGCATTCTAGTACACGCCTCGGTGGTAAGAGACTTCGAGCCCATCTTGAAGCGCACCATCAATGATATTTTTGGCTCGACTCTGGCTACGCCGACCTTGGTCACATCCGCATCGGCGGCGCGTAACCGGGCTCTTGTCCAGGACGCCATCTCTAAGGGAGCCACGAGCCTGGACATCTGCTCTGCTGACCTTGGAGAGATGGTCGAGACCAAGATGCGGCCCGTTGTTCTGACCAATGTCGACAAATCAATGGAATTGTACGGCGGAGAGTCATTTGGTCCCAGTGTATCCCTCTATTCCTTCGACTCGGAAGAGGAGGCCATCGAGTTGGCCAACGATACTGAGTACGGCTTAGCAGCTTCGGTTTTCACTGAGAACCTTGGCTCTGGCTTCCGTATAGCTGAGAGGCTCGAGTCGGGCGCGGTGCATATCAACTCCATGACGGTGCACGATGAGTATTCTTTGCCGCATGGTGGAGTGAAGAAGAGCGGCTGGGGTCGATTTAACGGGTATCAGGGTCTGAATGAGTTCCTGTACTGCAAGACGGTGACTTGGATGGACTAGGCAATGGTTTATTTAGCGTATGGTTTCTCAGTTTGGATCGGTTATAGACCATGATCGTTTGGCAGATAGTTGTAGCATCACACAAGATCGAGTGTAACGGCGCCGACTCTGCCAATCGTATGAAACGAGAATTACTCCGCGCAGCTCTTTATGTACAAACGAAACCTCTGCAAGGTTGGGTAGCTGCTGCTGTTGGTGACATTGTCTCAGTTTTTCACCATGAGGTGCGATGTCAACAAGTGATTAGAGTCAAGCTTTACAAGTGTGAAAAGGGGATCGTTGCGTAGATTGTGGTGAAAGATGTCTATAATATATCTGCTAGAAAGAACAAGAGTAGTTGGTGCCTATATAGTCCCTAATATAGGAGGGATCAGGGCAATTGAAGTACGATTGTATCGCGGGCTACTCTTCCTGCTGTCCTATCCACGTCCCATAAACGAGGGTTGAAGACATGTCTCGGATGAGAGCACGCCAGCAAGGCTAGCGGAGGATGGGACATCTGTAGGGGGCTAGTGTTCTGGACGATCTTCTTTTTCCCGCCTATCGGCCATTGCCGAGAAGAGCGTGATCAAGTGTCTTTATCCAGATTCACTATCTTGGTATGCTCCTCTGGGATGCGGGTTCCAGACCGGGGCGGGGACATTACTGAATGTGCTAAAGCCAAATAAGACCAAGTCTGTTATTATCTTCTTTATTAGCAGTGTCGGGATTCGCGTTGATAGCTGCTGCATGACTCGAAGTGAGGGGCAGCTGGTGGCAGTTGTGATGAGAATTACTCGCATTCGTGAATGGATTGAGGGTATGAATATAAATCCGACGAAAATTGGAGACCGGGGAATAGAAGCCTTGGTGAAGAGGATGACAGATCGTGGCGCTGACTGTGCTATGATTGTACTTGACGAATCCGAGTCATTATTTGGGTGTCTAGGCCCGAAAGGCACTGCCGTATCTGTGGACATGCCACCCCTGAACAGTGCTATTAGTATTAAACCGAATCCATTCTTTATAGAAGATAGGAGCTTACATCAGTTGCTCGAAGGGGGCTCCAACCCCCGAAAAGTTGGTACATGGAGTTAACTGGTGTACCCTGTACGCGGTTCCCTACTTTAATAGTACATGTCTGAATAGTTATCCCTCAGTTGATGGAGCTCCATCAACAGGGGTATTTCGCCGTCGATGAGTTATGTAAAGTTTACTCTATAAATGACTTTGACACGACAATAAGCGACTTGCGCGAGGGAAGGTTCAGTATTACACTAGATAAGCTAAGACTATTGTCGGTCTAACCATGATCTGCTATAGGTGTTCAAGTCGGTGATTTATTGGAATTAGGCCAAGTCTATGACTGGGAGGAAAAATATTGTAAAGCGAGCGCTGGATAACGAGGCACAGACCGCCGAGTTTCAGAGCATCATATGTAGCGTCGTTATCCACGATCGCCAATGGAGCGCTTCGACAAGTTTGCCAACGCAGTTTAGCACATCTAGTTTCGACCCTTTACCCAAGGACTTGGTAAGCAGAGACTACCGCCGTGAACTCAGGTTAATGAGTAATGTTGTCTGAAGGCGAAGAACCCGTATCTGAAAGCTATGCTAGCGTTTATTATAATTAGCGACAAGTCCGGCGAGCCCATCTTTAAAGCCGCAAAAGAGGAAAGCTACCTGGATGAAGACGCGTTCGAGGTTATGAATATCCAAACCTATTAATGGAGAAAGAAGGCTGTAGGTGAGGTCTCTCTAGCCTACCTGGGGCCGTCACTGGCGAACCCGTCCATGAGGCCGCCTTCGTGGGTTATTCTCCAATATCTGCGTGCCGAGTCTGCCCGGAGCCTGCTTCTAAAGCAGCGCCTCATTCTTCTCAATCTGAGTTTGCTAAAGGGGCCTCTAGGAGGTAAAGATCGACTCACACCCATCGGGCCCTCTTCTGCTGCTTTTCTTCCGATTGTGGAATTATAATATTATCTTAGCAATATCGGCATTCGATTTCGCTTTCACCATGTGCAGCCTCTGGTGGATCTGGGTATGGTGAAGGATATAAAAAGTTCCCATCAGTCATCATATCCTGTTGTTGACTTCTTGGTGCACCAGGGTTGGCATTTTCCGTTTCCTTGTCATATGGCAACTTATGGGAGTTCATCCGATTCTAGACAAGCCAGCAGCGCCGATATAAGATGGACACTACCAGCTGGGCTTACAACGTAGGCTCAGCACTCGGGACGAGTTCCTGTATCATCTTGAGACAAGAGCCGCACGGCCATCGCGCCATTCTTTTGTGATAAGACGACGGACTTCCATAGCTTCCCTAGCCAGTGGGGATTCGCGCATGCGAATAATGGGGACAAGTTGTTCGAGCCGGCTGACGGCCCCAGTAACTCCAAGCATGGCAACATCATCATTTACCACTGTCTTGACGAGTGGATGGCGAGAAATGGCTGAAATGATTCAGTTAGAAAGTCATAGCTAATGCGACATATGCAATCTACTCACCTAGCTTGAGGGCTCGTTGAAGGGTTGAAAGCATGAACATGGCCAGTTCTTTGATGTCGGGCGAATCCCGGAGGCGACGGTCAAGACAAATAGTTGCGTCATCAATAACGGCCAAGTTGCTCGCACAGTCCAAGAATCGTGTCTCATAGTTCAACACGTGCCATCTAAATGGAATGGACATCTTGAGGTATGTGGAAAAGAGGCCCCGGCACTTCTCGGTCCGAGACCTAATGTCTTGGGCTTTTGAAACGGCGAGTTCGCCGTTTTGGGGTTGGTTTTCCCGTTTCATCTCTCCTCTCCTTGATCATAAGACTAAGGACACGGCCCCGTATCTTGTCTTCGTTCTGGGCCACTGTTCCCCTTGACAGCTGAGTGGAGAAACATCAACACCGGAAGACACAATGTTGGCAGTATCAAATTATATCAGTCAATGAATGACCTGACTTACTCCACCCTGGCACAGCCCGAAAACGAACGCCTCGAGCCGCCCACTGACGACGATGAAGAAGCCGCAACAAGTGACTTTGCTCCCGATTTTAGTCGGTTTGGTGCCGCAGTCCCCATTGTCTCTGACCGCTGCTGAAACCTCGAGGAGTTTTTACGCAGAGGCGACCAGTACACAGGAATAGAACGATCCAGCCTTGATCCAAATCGAAACACTACTCAACGAATGGGTCCTACATTTTGGCTCAAAAGTGAGTCTGCCGGCTCACATTGCTGTACCAGATGGATAGTTGCCTGCGATGACGGAGATTCTCAACTAGATACAAGTCAGCGACGAGGCAGGTGTGCCTGCCCATGAATATGTTGACGACCCCGAGGCCAAAGTCAAACAATACATGGATACCCTGTCTAAAACTGGTGTTCCCGATCCGAGATTCCGACTTGCACTTTTGTCGACTTCTCTTGAGAGGTTTCCTGACCTTCAGCGGAAAACCAGGCTCAATTTATGCCCTCAGCGGTGGAACAATGCGATATGCTTCTGAGTCTGTACATTAAGTTTCTTACTAATTTTCTGGGCGAAACTTCATGGCATCGCTTCCATAATATCGATCGTTGGCAGGTATAAGCCGAAAAGCAAATTAGGGTGGCTTGAGTTAGTAGAATAAGGTGTTCCCCAGAATCGCCGCCCCTAGTGTTACACGGAAAAGGCCCAACAGATCGCGAAGCCCAACAAAGGGCCTTCACCGACAAAGGACTTATTGGTTACACAATGAGAACACGTGCCCGGGCAAGAGCCCTAGGCTCGGGCGTTTCTTTCATGTATATATAGAGGTCACCTCTCCCTTCCTTCCTTCAGAAAACTAAGGACCCTTGACATCCTACGCGATTATTATTGAATTGAGCCTTTTTTGCTCCAAGCCTTCTGATCGAGCCCTTGTCACAGCTAGAAGGAAGAGTGGTTAATTCGCAGTATAACTAGCCGTTGATAGGCATAACTAGAACTAGACGGAGTGTTTCGTATAAAACATGATCCGGGCAGCGTATATTCGCCAAATTAAACTCCGTTGTCGGATCATAGGCCTCCTCGCCCAACACTGAAAACACTTTCTGTTGAACCAGACCTTCTTGAGTACTAGAGGCTCTCGAGCCTGCGGATGGACCAACAAGCAAAGCAGAAACGAATCGAGTCACGGGCAGCGAAAAGGAGATTTATGGGGTCATCTCTGGCTTTGGTCAAGTCACGTTGTTTCCCAAGGAAGTCGGCGAAAGTCCCTTTACAAGACTCCGTCTCGTGCCGCTGAGCCTCAATGATCATGCTTTCTAAAGAGGCACGAGCGGTTCTGTATGACCTCAGCAACCCGGTGTTATCACGAGCCATGTAAACATTTCGAAGCGTTCTCTTATTGCTAGCTATTGAGTCGCTCCTTTGAAGGCCTTTGAAAAGCGCGTGTCTTCAATATTTGCTTCCGTTTACAGGCAATGATATTGGTGTAGTCTCCCAGAAACAAGTCGATCGAAGAGTCAAGGGCGTATTCGTAAAACAGATTTATGCTTAAGGATATGTCCTGATTCGAAACGAGGCGCCGTAGCAAATTTTGAAAATGAGACTATAAAACATGTAACGGTAGATAGCGTGGCTTATGCGACTTATGGCATTACTCATTAGTTTTAATGAGTACTTTTATATACCTAAAAGCATTAAAATAAATTAGTGTCTATACTCCATATATCTTAATCGCGTTAACGTTAAACTCACTAAAAACGCTTTATTATTTCTAGTCTTTACTTAATCGGATAAGACTTAGTTTTATTGCAAGATTACTTAGAATAATAGAGAGCAGTAAATCTACCTTAGCAGCCGTGTTACTATAATAGTAACAGTTATAAAGCTTCTAGGGTGTCTTTTAGGTCGACGGGAGTTCCTAGGAAAATGTCTAACACTCCTACGCTAATATTACCAAGATCAGTGATATTAAAGTGACCCACCGAAAACGCTGCTAAGAACTGGCTGTTAAGATCACAGAACCCTTGGCTGCTTCTAATAGATATACCGATGACCCGGGAGTTGATGTTATGGGCTATTTTTCGGGCGGAGAAAGAAGCTTGATTCTTATTACCACTCGTAACCCGACTAAGAGATATGAAATAGAAGGTTATTTCTTTTTTTCACTTCGACAAACTCGGGACTAGGGAAGCTAGCGACCTCCTTTTAGCAGCAGCCGTTCTATCGCGCCTATGGGGAGTGTGACAAGGGCTCAATAGAGGGCTTGAAGCAAAAGGGCTCAATACAATGATAATCTTGTAGGATGTCAAAGGTCCTTGGTTCCTCCAAGACAGAAGGCGAGGGGAGACCATCTTATATACATAAAAGGAACGGCCCGTGCATAGTGTGCCCCATAGTTCTCGTGATCTTCTTGTGTAATAAAGGGCTTCTAATCCTTGCTTGACCTAATCCGTGTGACACTCCTAATCCGTGTGACAGGGAGTGATCATAAGAAAACAAGCCGATAAAATCGCTTAAGTTCTAGGATATTTTCCTCTCGCCCTTATTTATGCTAGAAAGGCTACTCTTGGCTAAATAGTGCTCTCTCAGTTACTTTCCAAAATATTATAAACGAACTTTGAATAAGAATCGCCTCATTCAGAGCCGAAGAGCATCTCGTGGTCACAACATAGAGTATATATTAAGCATGAGTGTCTATCCTTCTCATAAGATGGTTAACCTCGAAAGCAAGAAGGATGAACGGTTAATAGGTGCCCTTGCTTTATTGAAGGTATTCTCATTCTTCTACTGCGAAAACAGCGAGTTTGATCTAATTGAAACTGCAGCCTGAATCCCGGCGAGAACGCAAAGACGCGCAAGCAAAGGAGCAAGCTGCCAAGCACGTACTCGTATATTCTAGGCCCAGAACATGGAAGACGGTCTTTCGCGACTGGGTTACCGCTCTCGCAGAGCAAATACTAGACCTAGTACTGTTCTTTCAGATGTTCCGAGGGATGAGGACGACATACCTTTTCATGAAGACCGGTTTCGTGCAAAAGGGCTCAATTCAATGATAATCTTGTAGGATGTCAAAGGTCCTTGGTTCCTCCAAGCCAGAAGGCGAGGGGAGACCATCTTATATACATAAAAGGAACGGCCCGTGCATAGTGTGCCCCATAGTTCTCGTGATCTTCTTGTGTAATAAAGGGCTTCTAATCCTTGCTTGACCTAATCCGTGTGACACTCCTAATCCGTGTGACAGGGAGTGATCATAAGAAAACAAGCCGATAAAATCGCTTAAGTTCTAGGATATTTTCCTCTCGCCCTTATTTATGCTAGAAAGGCTACTCTTGGCTAAATAGTGCTCTCTCAGTTACTTTCCAAAATATTATAAACGAACTTTGAATAAGAATCGCCTCATTCAGAGCCGAAGAGCATCTCGTGGTCACAACATAGAGTATATATTAAGCATGAGTGTCTATCCTTCTCATAAGATGGTTAACCTCGAAAGCAAGAAGGATGAACGGTTAATAGGTGCCCTTGCTTTATTGAAGGTATTCTCATTCTTCTACTGCGAAAACAGCGAGTTTGATCTAATTGAAACTGCAGCCTGAATCCCGGCGAGAACGCAAAGACGCGCAAGCAAAGGAGCAAGCTGCCAAGCACGTACTCGTATATTCTAGGCCCAGAACATGGAAGACGGTCTTTCGCGACTGGGTTACCGCTCTCGCAGAGCAAATACTAGACCTAGTACTGTTCTTTCAGATGTTCCGAGGGATGAGGACGACATACCTTTTCATGAAGACCGGTTTCGTAGTGCGCTGTCTCTTCTGGTTCGACTTTGCATGGCAACATTGCACGATGCAGACAATAGTTACTGGATGCATCAGTTGTTGGTACCAGTACAAGGGAGCAAGCCATTTGGTGCCAGACAGCGTGCACGGCACTGGTCAACATGCAATCCACATTTTCCAGACCCCTCGCAGATACACATCTCGGAACGAAAGGGTGAAAGGCAGATCCATCCGCATGTTGAGCATGTATCCAAGTTGCAGGAAGCAATCACGAAGTGTTTGGAGGAAAACCAGAGAAGCCTCCCTCGACCTTGACCGTTGACGTGGCTTATACCTCGGCAGGGGATTCGAGGCTTCCAGGCGGCTGAATATGTTAAGTTCTGTTTGGTCTACCTGAACTCTGGCTATTACGCCAAGGTTGAGGAGCTTCAGGTGCAAGCGAAGGACTATATCTTCGCAAACCTAGGACCCCTAGGACTCGTGTCTAAGGATGTCATCGACATCGCTCTTTTTTCGTCTCATAATCTTGTCTTGCAGGCGCGGAACAATTAGGCGAGAGTGTTCCAATACCCAGTACTCGAGTCTGTCAAGAAATGCTGAGGTCCAGATCATCCTTCAACCTTACAGATCATGGATTCTCTTGCCGCCAATTGCCTGTTGTACAGCAGACTGGCAGAAGCTACTCAATTGCTCGAAGAAGTAATTGAAAAATTGTCGAGTCAAGGAGGCTTCGGCCCTGAACACGAGAATACATGGACAGCTATGGACGAACCTTTCCAAGGTCAAGCTTCGCTATTTTAATAAGGAAAGGGGATTCCAGTTGCAATTGCAAGCTTATGAGGGGCTGCAGAAAATCTTGGATCCAACGCATCAAAAAGCTTTGTAAGCCAAAGATAATTTTCTGGGAATCTACGGCTTTATTGGCGAGGAGCATCCACCAGGTGCCCACAAGATGAGTGA